GGGAGTCTGGCGATGGGCGCGTTGCCGGGGCCACGCGTGCTGCCTCTGAGCTGCCTGCGGCGCAGCTGCACGCGCGCCCTCAGCAAGCTTGTTCTGCAGCAACGGCCTCCGAAACAGCACCTTCTGCATTTTTCAGACGGATGAATCGGTGCTGCTGTGTCCTTGATGCACCAGGTTCAGGCTCAGAACACATCCATAAGTTGACTGTTTTTCTGCTGTTTAAGGAGCACCATGAAAACGGCCCATTGCAAGAAATCCTCTCCCTCCTAACAGCAGATTTGTGGCTGCTGGCCAGTACTGCCCCACCAGTATCTCCTGTTCCAAACTGGTATTTACATTCAAAAGAAGTGCTTTAAAAGCAAGTAAAGTAAGGACCACGTTAATACAAATGTTAGTGAAAATATCTGATGTAACATTTGCTAGTACTTAAAAGAAGCTTCCGAGAACGTGGCAGAGGAGGGACTGTGCAGTACCTACACGTTGCGTGTTTTTTGTTTGGGAAATAGGTACTTTAAACATCCAGCACTTGAAGTCCAGCTTGGGAGAACCTGTAAAATCATATTAATGTACGAGAACAAATGTGAAACTTGGATTACGTAAGTGATGCTTTTTGTTGTCCAGGTGGCATTTTTTAAACGCACAAGAATGAAATGTGCAGTTCTGGATTGGAGCTTGTGTGGCCCAGAACAGTTTACATAAATTTTAGTTACTACAGAACCAATAAAACCTTCCTCTCTAAAACTCTTAAGAATAGGGACTGTCCTCATCTTTGCAAATAATTCTTTCTAAATCTAAAATAAATCTACTGCATGTTGCAAGTGCTGGGGGCTCTTCCTCAGCCATTGCGTTGTTCAGTCTGCGATCGTAGCAGCTCACCAGGGGCCTGTGCGGTTTATTTCCCTGCTGTCACGTGGAGTTCGTCACACATCTGTTCCATGTATGGATGATTCCTGGAGATAAAACGCTTTTGCAGAGAACAACCACGAGCAGCTCCTTGCTCAAGACTGGCCTCAATTTGTTATCCCATTCTCAGTGTGATTATGGCCCCAAAACTGCAAAGCAGGAGTGGGAGATCATACAAACGTTTGTAGGACCAAGGGAGGAAAAGTTCAAGGCATTGCCTGCACTGTGCTACGAAATGCTAGGAAAGCCTCTGTGGTGTTGTAACCGAAATATTTTAATTTTAGGAGCAGGTCCCTGTTCCTGTTTACCACCCGACTCCTAGCCAGACTCGGCTGGCCACGCAGCTGACGGAGGAGGAGCAGATCAGAATAGCGCAGAGGATAGGCCTTATTCAGCATCTACCTAAGGGCGTCTACGATCCGGGAAGAGACGGCTCCGAGAAGAAGATCAGAGAGTAAGTAACAGAGACCAAACTGCGCTGACGTGGCCGTTGCATTGGCTTGTGATACCGCCCTGGGAAACCTGACCTTGTCCTCCTGGTTTGGCCTCAGTTTCAGGGACTGTAATTTAATGTCGCGTTCAGAAAAATGACCATGCTGAGGGCTCTTTCCTTTATCCTCGCTTGTTTTCCTGCTAAGGATGAAACTTACTTCCCAGCCCATGTAGTTCATGTCCTTGCAAGTTTGTTTTTTTTTCCTCTTTATCCTCTCTTCATGAGGAAATAATTTCATGTTACTTCCCCACCTTTATGGCTCCCTTTTACTGTTTCTAATCCTCTGCGCTCTGTCAGGCTGCCCCCCGCCGTGCCCGCAGAAGGCTCCCTGCCCTCGCTGGTGCTGTAACCAGCGCATTTACACTGCAAAGGAAACACCAAAAAAAAAAATCTAGTGCTTGGTGGAGCCAGCACTGACAGAGCTAAGAACTCCTCGCAGTACCTCCAAGTACTAACCGTCTGTTCGACTCAAACATACCCAGGAGTAGATGCAACACTATTTTTTATTTCCAGTGTGGTAACAGCAGCTTAAATATTGTTATGATCTTTTTCCCCCTCCAGATGTGTCATTTGTATGATGGACTTTGTTTATGGGGACCCTATCCGATTTCTGCCGTGCATGCACATTTACCACCTGGACTGTATAGATGACTGGTTGATGAGATCCTTTACCTGTCCCTCCTGCATGGAGCCAGTGGATGCAGCACTGCTGTCGTCATATGAGACTAACTGAGCCAGGGTTTCTCCACTCGACCTTCGAGGAGACCATCCACTTTAATGGGTTTGATCCTTTTGTCATTCAGCCCAAAGAGCCAGGAATTAGGAATTAAGATCATGCACAAAGTATACATTTCCTAATAAATGAATAAAAAATATTCCTGAATGGCTGCAAATATTGGAAAAAAACATAGTATTTTAGAGACTATAGAAAAAGTAGGTTGTTATTTTTAATGTAAAGCCTTGACCCACCATTGTCTTTTAATGTTTGTTCTTACACCCATATATAGGAATCGTGTAAAGTGTTACAGCAACTGTAAATGTTTAAACTGCGTGTATCCAATTTTATTAGCAGCAAGGTAGGAGTATTTTTTTCCTAAATAAAGTAACCAGTTTTGTTCTGATTCTTTTCACAAGTCCTGGCATTTGGGTCAAGGCTTTATTGAAATCGACATTTTATAACACTGGCACAAAGAAATAGTTTTAAGCTTGTTTGCACAGTTCTTTTTCCTTTTTTTTTTTTTCCATTGGAGATGGAATTCATTGCCTTAGGTCTTTTTAATAGTGTATTGTTATTGTTGGGCTGGCTCTATGCTTGAAAACCAGTTTATTTATAACCTGTTAAAAGTGCTATATTTTGTTTGCAGTTAGGAATATGCAGACTTCAAAGTGATCTCCTAGCTTGTAAGCAAACTGAGATGCATTATCCCTTTTCTACAAGTGATGCGGAATAGGAAGATACGAAACAAGTCCTACAGTGAAATTATGGTTTCATGGTTTTTATAACTTGCTTCGGTTTTGATGAAACAACAGTCCTTAAACTTTGTCACCTTTAACTTGATTGGGTTAAAAGTGGGCCAGACGGACAACAAATAGTTAAGCTACCATGACTGGAAAAAAATATTTGGAACTAAGGTAGTGTTAGCGTTGATCACTTACTCTACTTTTTTCTCCCTAAAAATGGTTGTCTCTGATCTTAGCAAATGGATACTGCATCTCTCGTTCTTGTAGTTCTTAGGTTATCAGAAGCTAAGAATAAACATACTGTATCTCAGTCTCCTGTATGAAATGTATCTGTTAAGCCCTGCTGGCTGACACGTCAGGCCACCAAGCAGATATGAAACCAGATAGGAGAAAAACCTATTTTGTTCTGCACATAAATGCAAACTCTGTAGAAACGCAGACTGTCAAGCTAGCAGTTGAGGGGAGACCAGCACTGCTATAGCCAGAATGACGCAACTGGCTGATCTCTGTAGCCAACAGCGTGGGCTTGTGAAGAGATGCTCTAGCAAAGACTGTAGCGGTAAAGACCTTTTATCCACTTTGCATGTTTTTGCTTGGGTTTTTTACTTTTTTTTTTCTTTCCTCCTTAATGTACCCTACTGTGACTTTTACACATTCAGTGCAACACTGATACGTTGAGTAGTCCTGGTGTTGCAAAATGAGATGCAATCTCAAGTTAACCACAACAAATCAGGGAATGTTCGTGATCGTTTTTCCTATATAGTTTGAGTACTTGATAGAACAAGTTGTTCTTAAAGACCCAAGTACCTTGAAGACTTTAGTGTACTTACAGGATAGAAGAATTGTGCGTGTTCTGGCAAATTTTTGAAGGGTTGGTCAGCAAAATGTAGAATCAATATGTTGATTTATTTATTGCTCCTGCAGCCGGCAGCAACCTGCTCTCGTAGAGAAGAACTCCAAGTAGCAGTCAGAGGGAACTGAAAGCAGTCTGCAGCTCTAGAGGTTCACTCAGATTGCTGCACATCTATCTGGATGCAATTTTTGATGAATTCTTACAGACCTAATGACATGGATCAAAATCTGGGAAGAGAGACCCGAAGTTGTGCAATATCACTGTTCCTTTTCACCATTCCATGTGTGTTCCTTTGTGTCCTCCTTTTTGTCTGTCTGTTTTGGAGGTTTGTTTTTTTTTTTTTTGGTAAAACAATGTCCACATTAAGTATTCATTTCTTTTCTTTATCTTGTTAAAATTGGCAAATGAACAATTTGAAAAAATAGCATTGTCATGTTGGTTTTAGTCTTTATTTATTACAAGACTTGATTAAGAAAGATTTGAAAGAAATATGAAGTGACCGATTACTGAGCTGAATGCTTTTCTAGGCACTTTGTATAGTTGAACTTTTAACACTGATATACTTACCGGGCTAAGGGAAAAAATGACTTTTATTAAAATGCTTGTTAAATAGCAAAAAGGTGTGAAGGGCTAAAACTAGAGTTGATTACACAAAAACATTCCAGAAAGCTCAAATTTTAGCTTAAAAACAAATGTGTAAATATAACAAATAAATCAAATGATTTTTCAAGTTTTTAGGTGCAATGCTGTTCTGGATGATTTCTAATTCAAAGTAATTGATCTGAATTTAACGCAAAATAATGTGTAAGCTGAGTTTTAGCTACAGTTGTGAAACCAGATCTGTGTCTTAATTCCGCCAGCTGTAAGCTGAAGATCATATTTGCCTCCTGTCTTAGAGGTGCCTAATAAATTACTGATGCTTCAGACCTATGAGCCAGCCCACTTACAGCACCGCTGTTCCCTGACCAGAGCCTGCAGCAGCTCAGCGAGGGCAGAGGGCTCGCTCGCTCTCGGGACCGGTTCAGCCACAGCCCTTCTTCTGCCAGGGCTGTACGGGTCAGGGCGGACAGGCCCGTAGTAAAATGTCTCCAAAGCAATCTGAAAAAAAAAAAAAAAAGACTCTCACAGCTACTGTCTGTAGGTACCCAAGTTTGTAGGTGCATCGACAGTTATCAAAAAATGTTGCTTTAGAGCCTTTCACAGGGGCCGTGCCGTCTGATGAAAGCGTTCAGTGCAGCAACGCTGTCTGTGCTTTAGAACCGTAAAACCTGGACCCAGAAATAGCTGAGCGGATCATCGGGCTCAACCCTCTGCAATCTCAGGCAACAACGCAAGAGACAGCGAGTTTGCAAGTCCACCCACCCCTGGTCGCTGCCGGACGCCACGGCCTCTCGCAGCACCCTCCTGTCCCATTTGAAGAGCAAGGGGCTGCCAGAGCAGCACTGCAGAAAGGGAGCAGGCAGGGACCAAGGGCACTGCCAGCGTCCCAGGCGTTTGCGCAGCAGGGAAATGGGTAGGTTATGTTTGCACACTAGAGCAGGAAAGGGCTTTTTTTTGTCTCGTACAACAGAAAAAAATCCCAAATTCCCACAAATCTCAGGAAAAAGAGATGCAATAACAAGTAATGAATGCTCAGTTAAGACCTTTATGCTTAAAAATTCTTGCATGCTGCTGGAATTACCACTTTAATTGTTTTACATCTAAGGATGCTAATCCTTGTTACTGGTTGCCAGTTCATTGTGTAAATCTGGGAGAGAATCGTCCAATTTGTGCATAAACAAAAAAAGCCCAGAGACTTCCTTTGTGACGAGCTGGTGGTGTAGAAGGGCTTGAACCACGCCAGGTTTTAAAAGTTCCCACTGCCTTGCAGCTCCCTGGGGCTGAAAGCAGTTCGGTGTTTGGCAGGCTGACAGTCCTCTCCCTGCAGCCGCAGGAGCGTACGTTTCTAGGCTAAGGGGTTACGAAACACCTGAATTTCTTTCAGTTGCCACAGCTTCAAGACTTCGACATTTCCTGTCCTTGTGCAATCGTGGTAAAGATGAGAATTCTTCCGAGTCAGACTGTCAGTTAAATAAGTAACAAGATGGCCGACACCAAACATGCGAGGCCTCTCACCAGTTAAATCCTGGATTAAAATGGACTTAGAAACAAAGTGGATGCTAGCTGACTACAAATAGTTTATTACAGACAGCACATTTTTATTAAAAACAGACATACTAGTTGGTAACCTATAAAAAAACTTGAATAAAATCTGTGCAGAAGAACCCTTCTTGACTTAATACCCAGAATAAAAAATTAGCGTCAAGAATTAACTTTTATACAGCATTTGACTTTGAAGAATATAATTTATGCTAGCCATCCTTTGCAGATTATCTTGCATTTAAATCCGTTCCGGGATAAGAGTTAGGGGCTTTGGCGTTCCTGGTATGAAACACGAAGGTTATGCTTTTTGATAAAAAGAACAGTCCAGACTTACTCTGCAAAAGCACCTTTTTTGATTTAAGCAGAAGAAATCACTGTGTGTGCATGCTAGCAGCTGATTTATTACAGCGGCCACTCTGCAGACACACAGCCTTAGCGGCAGAGAGGACTCTACACTGAAAAAAAAGATTTGTGAAAGTGCCTGCGTGTGTTTCCGGCAGCGCGAAGGTTTGTCCCTGCTCAGCAAGAGGGGAGCAACTGCACGGCAAGCAAGCAAAAAGCCCCCAAACCTCCTCTGGCCTCTCAGCTGGAAAACAAGTCGCAATACCTTCATAAACCTAATCTTTGCAGCACCGACCCCTAGAAAATACTTGTCTTTATTTTAAATCAGGCATTTCGACAACAGCTCCGCACCCGGCAGTAAATGTGCAGCGCCCTGCACGTGTTCCATGCACCCTGGCTGGCCACAGCCCCGTTTCTCCCGGACACAGCGGGCCCTGCTCTTGCTTCCTGGAGGCACATTTGCCAGGGTTCTTGCTGCAGACAGACAGACAGACTTCCACCTCTTCAGCATCTTTTTCCTGCCCTTCCACCCTAAGCTGCCTGTCTAATAAAGGCTCCACGCTGGGCAGGCAAGTCGAGGGAGGCAGACAAGGCAGAAATTCAAGGGGGAAAAGATGTATCACACCAAGACTGGTTTCTGAGCGGGACGGGGCCGTGCTGGGTGCTGCCCCGCTGAGGCAGGGCTCTGCTCGTCCAGAGCAAAAACTGCATGAGGCCCTTGAACCCTAAAACTGCTTTTTGGTGAGGTTACCACCGAAGAGCTCGTGTTAGACTGCCTGTTTTTTGGGGGGGATTTCTCCTTGTAGAAGGCTGTATGCACACGCTCTGTTTCCTTTATGATCCCACAGCAACCCATGAGTAAAAGCCTTTAACCTCCCTGCATTTTCCTCAGCCGTCATCTGAAAAGGTGTCAAAGCTTTTGCTTCATACATCTCACTTTTTTAAGTGCTGAATTTAATAGAACAGTTCTCAAAAAGCTTTGGCTACAGAGCCTGCTACTGGTGCGTGTGAGTATACATACATACATACATACACACACTTTTTGTGTATATCTATAATCACTTTTTTATATATATATGTGTGTGTGAGAGACAGATCCTATACTTTCAGTAGACACGTAGCAAAGGCCGTACACGTGCGCTTCCTGCTGTTCCTCAGGAACACCAAGAACTCTGCAGCAGCGATGAGCCCGGCACCACGGAACGGAGACCTGCCCCAGGGTCCAGGCATCCACCAACCGTAACTACGAAGGCCAAAGCGAATACCAAACCCACAGCTGGCCCTGCTGATTGCTTCTAAAGAAGCTTTGCAGCTGCCCAGCAGAGGCTGCGTAACCTTGGCGGTGACGACAGCAGTACTGGGTGCTGTACCCAGGTGGAGATGACATTGAACACGATGCACGTGTTGTACTTCCAGAGTTCAACAACATTGCTTCACCTCCCTGGAGTGATGTACTGAGCTCTGCTGACTTTTAGAGAGACGGTTCCTATTTTGCATCTCCAGCTAGCATCAGCAGAGGCAATCGTTGGGCATCTCGCACCCAAACGCCGGGAAAAGCACCGCATCCACAAACACCACCAGCTCATCCTGGAACTGCACCTGTGATGCCGGCAGCCCCTGTGGCTCCAGCACTGCAAAGATCCCACACGGCTGCGGCGCGAAGGAAGCGGTTCCTCACCTCCGCACCCTGCGTGCTGCAGGAGAAATGGAACAGGGAGAGATGGAAACTGTCTGGAATGTTGCAGCTTCTACTTATCTGCTCTTTCTCACCACGTTGCTACATGGCTTTTCAGCCACAGACCTGAAATTGTTAAAGTTCTTGACTAATGTGAGATAAACATAGGTTTTTTCCTCTGTTTTCTCTTTTCTGAATTGAAGCAGCCCATAAAGAAAGCGTGCAGGAGGGGTTGTGACTGCTGTTTTGTATTCTTTCTGTAAAACAGTCAAGGAGAGACAGAGAGACAAAGCAGGTCGAATTGAACACAATACGTAATTCTAAATAAACATTTTGCCTATGTTCAGCCAGAAAAGAAAGTGATTAGGTCCAGCGATTCAGAATACCCAGAACATAATGGAACACAGCCCAGTCCTACAAAAACATTGTTGAATTTGGAGCAAACACCATGCAGAATTTTACCACAGTGCAATGCCGATATTTATTAGCTCTGTTGCTGTTCATAAATCTTGGAGACAGGGATTGACTGGGCAGGTTTTTAAAAGACAGTATTTGTATTTATCTTTTTTTTTTAAAAACACCTGAAGCAAACCTAGATAGCATCTTTAAAAAATATTTTATGATGACAAATCATTCAATTAAAATACTTGCCAATACACGCTTTGCTTACAATCTATCACCAAAAGGTATTTGCAGAACATAATGAGAAAAGAAGCCAGTTCATCTCCAGTCTGCTCAGGTTTTCCGATCTGGCTCATCGGTGACGTTGCCAACCATTACCCATTTTCCTGTACAGCAGTAAACAACATGACTCACCCCTTTATCTTCTCCTCTTCCTCCCAGAGGGGGAACTGCGTGGAACGCATTGTTTTGGTCATTTCATATCCATTTGCTTTGCTGCTGTGTTTTTATGCTTGGGAAGGCAAAGAAATGCATCTCGCAGATGGAACCGGAGGCCGCGAGTGTTGTATTTAAACTCTTGGGAGCGCCTTTTCCATTCTGGGACTGACCTCTAGGAAAGCCTCACACAGAGGAGCATTGCTTGGTGCTTCTCTTGGGCCAGAGGCATGCAAGCTGTCAAGGCTATCACCCCATGATCTTTTAGTAGTCTTGGACCCAGACCAACCAAGAATACTACAGCACTCAACCTAATATAGAGTGTAACGCCAGAAACAGTGAAATGGGAGGAAATGTTTGATATGGTCCTGTTCTATGCTGCTCTGTTTTAGAAAAGGCAAAGTTTCCTAAGGAAAGTTTTGAATGCTGTTATCACCACAGTGTAAACAACCCGAGGCTAGGCACTGTCAGAACAGGACAGTCTTTAAACTAACCATCTGTGACAGAATGTGTTCATTGTAGATGGTAACAGAACTGCCTATCAGTAATAAATCAAAGCATGTTTCTGTGGTGCTGGTTTAGCTGAGCAAGCGTAAGTGGGTGTTTCCAAACAGGAGTAGTTGCATCGTGTTTGTGACTTCACCAAAATATCTTCTGATCATCAAGAAAACCTGTGACCAGGTTCAGCTTCAGCCCACCGTTCTTCATCCAACAGGTTACCCCGTCCAGTGTTACCTCTAGGAGCTAGGTGTTGACGTCGGTACACCTCGTTAGAACTCAGAATAAGCTGGTGGCTTTTCAGCCCGTATCCGCCCTTCAGTTTAAGGAGAGACCATAGGTACATGGGTGCCACATACAGATCTAGTGATAAAAGTGATGCTTATTTTACTGCTTTTACCTTCCCGACCACTACCACTTTCAGATGGCACAGCGGTATCACATGGGGCACCATGGCAATTGCTGCAGCCAGCCAGGAAACCAAGTATGAATTTCTGCCCCTCCTCAGCTCCTAGCAGGAAACCACTTATCAGTCATACTAAAAAAATACACAGAAAAATAAATAGTTTTCAAGTTTTATGATAAAGGTCCTACCAAGTGCAGAAAACTATTTTCTGCTATACGAGCTGTTAGTTTGCCTTTGGTTAACTTCTCTGGCTTTGCCAAGGACTGAGAAGAGTTGATACCACCAGTTGTCAGCTAAAGCCTGGTACTAAGAGTGGGCTTCTCGAGCGTTGGTCAGACAATGCAAGGTCTGAAAGCAGAAGGAAGCGCTCCTTCTGCAAATGAGGTGTTGACTACGCCCATCTGAAGCTGTACTCGGTGTTCCCTGAATCTTAGGCCATGCTGAAAATCCTTGATTTGCGATTCCACCAGAGTATCTGCTGTTTTCTGGTAGGTGAACGTACTGAATGCTGAGGCTGTTGGAGAACTCACACCAGTTGCGCTTTCCCCAATTCCTGGTACTTGGGACTCCAGACTGGCGAAGCGATTTACCATTCTGGAGAGCTGCTGCAGGCAGAATGCAGCAGCTTCAGAAGCAGCAACGGAAAAACAATCCCAACTGAGTTTTTGATCCCTAGTCCAAAAATGAAGCACCTTGATGAACAAAGAGTAACGGTGGGCAATTCAAAATGTAACACAGTGAGAAACACGGACAGTAACAACGCCCCAGACCTTCCATTCATCCTCTAGCAAACAAGGTGTTACTTCCCTTCATCGAGTTCAGAATATTGCAGCCTGTAAATCTTTGTTGTCACATCAGGAAGGTGTCTGCTATTGGTTGGGAGCTCAAAAGTCAGAGTGAAAGCATGGACTGCTTGATCATGGCTAACTACAAAGTCCTCAGCCAAAGCTGGAGATCAGGTCCATGATACGACTGGTGCTTGTGCTCGACCAAAGACCACTACAAAAATCTTAGGGTTTTCATCGCTGCAAAGAATCAGGGAAGCTGACTGCGTATTGCACAGCATGTCCTTTGTGCAAAGGTTCCGAGACCAGGCGGAACTCGCTTGTGGGTGAAATTTCAAAGAGCATTTCAGTGGCTTTGAGAGATGAATCTACAGTCGGAAGGATTGTTCACTTTCTGCAAAGCACAATTTATGCTAATTTTCACAGCATTGCTTGCTTAAAAGATGCTAAGACTGCCAAAATATTTGAAAAGGACACAACTGGAATAAGAGGCATTATATACATGAAATAGAACAAGAATCTTTTTTATTCTATACAAAGAATGGCTGAACTCTTAGGTTTTGATGTGCAATATGTAAATAGCAGAACTGTTTATACTAAATTTTATCTGAACTGAGAAATTTATCTGAACTGAATTTATCTGAGAAAGTCGCTTTAAAAAATGCATTTTTCATCTATGATTTTAACTTGGGAAGACTTCTCTAAAGGCTGTCTATTTTTAAGACAATGCATGTTCTCTGTGTTGAGGAACAGGTGGTTCTGTCTCCTTGCATATTAATTTGCAATTATAAAACAATGTCATTTGCTCAGAGGAGGTGAAGGCAGAGCTATAATCTGTCAATTCTCTTCTGCTGGGAACAATCACTTTAGAAAGAATATGCACTGTGAGGTACAAAGATACGAATCTTCCTGGCAAACATCTCCATCGGAGAAAAAGGGCTGTCAGAAGACCTCCCATCTCCACATGTCAGAAGGGGTCATGGGGAAGAAGCTCTTTCAAAAGGGAGGTAGAAGTGTGCCCCAAAAAACCACAGGCATACAAACATGGAGCCAGCCTGGAGAACAGTAAATACCAGTCAAATATGTGTTACGTCTGACTTCACCAGATTTGCAGAAAAGCAGCAATTCTATGGCAGACAGTGCCGGAAAGCAGAGCTAGCTCTCTGCTCTGTTCTCAAAGCCCCTTACACCGAAATTCCCCCAAAAGATCAATACAGAGCAAAAAGGTAAAGGGCTCTCCTTGGTGAAAAGCAGAGCGCTGTGCCAAGACAGCCTGCTCCAGTCCCAGCTTCACACAGCGACCATGGCCACGCGATCTCTTTAAACGTGGACATCTCATGCTAGGCAAACCTAAGAAATTGTTTTAAGAAGGAACTGACTGTCACAGTAACTCCATATTGCTGCGCAGCCAGAGCAACACAGCTGGTTCTTAAGTGACCTCCAAGGACTTGTGCTTTAAATACAATATAAACTTCAAACCGTGTTCATTCTGATGAAAAAACTGTTTCCTAAGGACCTCCCATTTTTCAATTTGTCAAAGAAGGAGGGATGCAGTTCTATACTGCCATCACCCTGCCCCCGCCAAATCCTTGGTAAATCATTCAGCCGCTGCGAGCAGCACACTTGACATGAAACCCAAATTAAAGAAAAAATCAAGATACTTGCATAAGGGAGACCATTTTTTTTTCACCAGCAAGTTTCTTATAGAAGCAAAAATGTGACCAGTCAAAGCCGGTAAAGAGAAGCTTTCTACACACAACTGGAAGTGCCCAGGAGTCAGAGCTCCTCCCTGCTGCTTCTTGTGCACTGCGATTTTCTCAAACCATTGCAGCTAAGTAGGTACTTGGAAAAAGCGATGCTTCCTTCTCAACTGCTCCAACATGAAGTCAAACAAACATTTATAGCTAACGGAGATCAACTCCATGAATCTTTAAAGTTTTCTTGTTTTTTTTCAATTGTTCCCTTTTATGTTGTAGCTTGCTTAGAAAATATTGCGAACACAAGAAAAAAAAAAAGGCACATGATTGAAAAATGAATTACACAGATGTAAGTATTCAAAAAGTCACTGTTGGAAAACCAATATTTTTCAGGGCTATGGTTGTTTTGAGAGGTTTTTTGCCATGTTATTACACTAGATTAATGTTTTATGCATCACCTTTAAAATAGTAAATGATTTGGTTTCTCACTGACTTGAAAGAGAAGGAAAAATAATTCTAAAGTGTCAGTAATTTTCTGCACCGAAGTTCGCAACAAACAGGACATCAAAGAAGAAAAAGTTACGACACTGCCGAGGCTCCGGAGTGCATTCCATTTTCTGGGGCGGATTTGGCTTGGTGCAGGGCAGCTTGAATTCTGAAATGCGTTCTTGTTTCCATGGAGTAATTCTTGTAGTTTTGTCTAAAACAAAAGCAGATCCACTCTGATGAATATATATTTTTTAAACATCTTCGAGTTATCTTTATATTACTGTTCTAAGCAAAACAACTGTGGACAGCAAAAAAGCCTTTCTTCACAAGCTCCTTTGTTGCCTACTCTAAAATATAAGGCATGTGTTCCTAGCCAAACAATGCAGCTCTTTGTTCCTTCTTTGTAGTTCCACTGTCTGGCAATTACCAGAAAAATATAGCTTAATAAGTAATTGAATCTGTTCCACTCAATCAAAATATGGAGTTCACATTAAATATCTATCACATCCACTTAGTTTACATTGAGAAAGTAGATTTTTTTTTCCCCTTCTTAAAGTATAACTGACAAATCTGAATACAAACAATTTCAGGATTTTTTTTTCCTCATTTTAATAGATGGACTCATCTTAGTTCAGCAGACACATTCCAAGGAAGTAGAAAACAGACCAAAAAAAAAAAAAAAAAAAAGAAAAAGAGAGAGAAGCTGTCCTAAAGCAGAAGAGGGAAACACCCTGTGGTTGTCAACGATGTGTGCTGTGCGTAGGGAATCGGGGCAGACAATCTGCTGCCCTAGAAGCTCGCACAGAGAAAGTGGGCACACACGAGACTCCGGACCAGCTTTCCAGGAGCAATTCACCAGCCCGAGGAACGATGGGCAGGACTTCCCCCGCACACATCTAGTGGCTGACTCAGCAGTGTCAGCTGCCTACAGTCTCCAGTAGCTATGTCATGGTCTATAGAGTTACAGAAACATTAAAACAATCTGTATTTTCACAGAAAAGCTTATATAAAAAAAGAAATTTTGCCCCTAGGACCATGCAGAAAGGGCAGATCCTACTTAATAGGTATTAAAATGTCAGCTCTTGCAGGATGGATACAGAATCCAGATACTAAAGAGGATTAGACCATGCTAAGTTTCTTTTAGAAGATATTTGTCACTTTACAGAAGCATAGCATTAAGTATTAAACAGTCTGTATACCTTAAAAGCATTTCAGTTCAAAACTTGTAATTCAAATCAAGCATGGCAGCATGGTATCTGTCACTATGGCAGTGGCAGTCTCTTTGTGAGAACAAGGAATTCCACACCCGTCCTACACCAGCTTATCATTTATATATGCAACATCCAGGAGGCTGAACGAGAAAAGGTGGTGTCCAGGTTCTGCTGTATACTGAGCTGAAACTCTTTGGAGATTTTTCTTTAAATTAAGCAGATTTTGTCATGCAGATACTGTATTTCTCATCAGTGGGCTGATAATTCTTGCTTGTAGCTTACGGTAATACAAATAGAAATATCTCCATGCATGACCAAGCCAAAACTGTTTATCATCTCATTCCACTCTTCCTCCCAGAGTTGAAACATCAAGCCAGCAGCAGTATGTGGATTTAGGTCAAGCAAATCAAGCGTCATGCACAAGCCGAGCGCTTGGCTGCACTCCTGCCAACTGCAAAGCTAATTCTGCAGCCCTGAACCCCCCCGACAGGGCCCTCTCCCTCCAGTGGCTGCAAAGACTTTCAGCATTTTTAGCTTATAAACCCTGAGCATTTCAATGCAGCATAACAGCTACAGGTGGAAATGTTAAGGACTGCTCTTTTTTTTAAGACTGACTGAAACAAGGTGGGGGGGGTTGTGGTTTGGGTGGGTTTTTTTGCATATCATTAGTTTCCATGAGTTCTTTCAGCATAGCAAGTCTGAATATTAGCTTTCCACACACTGGGTAACAACAAATTTTTAAGGGCTGCTGTCTGCTGGTGCTCTTCTTTAAGCCAAAGGCCTTCCTTCGAGGGGGCCTGCGACCTGAGCCCCACAGAGCCATCAGGGGAAAGGTGCAACGGCTGGGCAGCAAGCGACAGAAGGACCAGATGGAACAAGAAGCGCTGAATCATTAATTTCTAGAGCTCTTCTTAAGAGAGATTTGAACAAAGGAAATGAGGACAGGAGGAGACACATGCTTTCAGGAATGTGAAACCAATTGAAACACTTTCCATTGCACTTTGCTAATGCAATTTTTGCTGCTCTTAAGATCTTCCATGAGTCTACAGAGAACCAGGCTCACAAACACAGGAGGTTAAGAACTGCAATATTTTAATTTTTGCGTTGGCAGGCTTTTGGCACAATCTTCAGTAGGCTGATTCACCGCTCTGTCTTGCACAGGGGACTGACTTGGACAAAAGCTCAATATGAAAACTCTATCTGATCTCTTCGACACTCGGGGCCAGACATCAGTTTTGTAGCTGCTCACACCTGCGGCAGTGACTGCGCGACTCCCTGCCCTTGGGAAGATGCAGACATCTGCACTCATTCAGGAGCCAAGCAGAGAGGTGAACCACCCTGCTGCAGGATGCTTGAAGAGGGCAAGGGTTTGGTTTGGAGGCGCTCTCCTCCCTGCCCCCAAGAAACTTTGGCTCAGCAGAGAAGTAAAGGCTCGGACAGAGGCAAAACCTGTATTTTGTTGATTTTATAATAAAGAACATACATGATCAAGTCCAACTATTCACAGAATCACAGAATGGTAGGGGTTGGAAGGGACCTCTGTGGGTCATCTAGTCCAACCCCCCTGACAAAGCAGGCTCACCCACAGCAGGCTGCACAGGACCTTGTCCAGGCGGGTCTTGAATATCTCCAGAGAAGGAGACTCCACAACCTCCCTGGGCAGCCTGTTCCAGTGCTCCGTCACCCTCAGAGGGAAGAAGTTCGTCCTCATGTTCCGACGGAACTTCCTGTGTTTCAGTTTGTGCCCATTGCCCCTTGTCCTGTCACTGGGCACCACTGAAAAGAGTCTGGCCCCATCCTCCTGACACCCACCCTTCAGATATGTGTAAGCATTTATAAGGTCCCCTCTCAGCCTTCTCTTCTTCAGGCTGAACAAGCTCAGCCTCTCCTCGTAGGAGAGATGCTCCAGTCCCCTCACCATCCTCGTAGCCCTTATTCCTGATAAACCTACTTTGCTAGAAAAATCAGTCACACAAAATAGAAAAGTAGGTGTTTCAGTTGCCTTTCAGATGCAGATGAAACAATACAAAGATACTAAATGCAACCTGAAGCATTACCTTAAATGTATTTCACCAAGGAAGGAAAAAAGCACTGCTAGCCATCAATTTGAGTAATACTATTTTAGCCATAACACAGAGCTTTGATTTAATTTAATACACCTTTTATGAATAAAAAGACTGCAAAGATTATTATATTTTATTACACATATATTATTTCTTATGGAAGCCTTTGATGTTCATATAACATGTTTAAATTTTTCTTTTGCTCTTACCAGAATGGATGGGTAAGTCATAGACTGAATGAACGATCAGATAGTGTCTACCATTAGAAAGGTCCAAACCAAAACTAGTCCATGCGTGCTTCCATTGGAAAAATGAAACAATGAGTTCCCATTATATCAATGAAATGTTTCTGCTTCCTGCTAACCAGTAAAATACCATACTGACCCATCATCAGACATCAGCACAGGTTTTTCCCTTGCTTACTTTGCTCTTTCCAGTAGTTTTATTGCTTCTTCTCTTCTATCCTGGTCTAGATACAGTATTGCCAGCTCCAGCAAGGCATTTGGAATTAGATAATGGTCATATTTTATCTTCTTCTCACTGCATTGGAAAAGAAATAGTCTCAAGATCTTGAAATCATATATTGTTTCCTTCATTTAACAGTTCCAAACACAAATAAATAGGAGATTAGCTAAGATCAGAAGGAGCAATCAATCTGTATTACAACACTTGTCATATTTACTATCCAAAGCTACCTATCAGGTTATTAAATGTGTATTCTGCATAACCACCCTGCACAGTATGTTATTTCTCAGTATATTGCCTTTATTATCAGGAAAGTATCAGAAAAGATGGTAATATTATGAGCTCTATCCATGTGAACTGACAAAAAGCGATGCCATTCACTGCATGATGTACAGAAGTTCCAAGTGTAATCGTGCTGCCATCTGTCCCTGCAGACTGCATTTGGCTTTTTGGGTACAGCTTCTTCACGACTGCTAAAAGGAAGGGGAGGGGAAAGGGAGGTGATATCTCAAAAATTTTATGCACGTATAATCCCCAAGAAAGGAGAAAATATCTCAGTAAAATGTGCAGATTTGCAATTCTTCTTCCATACATGGCTAACAATACTGGTAATTAAAATTGCAATTTCTTGATATCAAAGCAACTGAAATAAATACTAAAGATACCGCAGTCCTCTCCCTTCTATTCATATCACAGTTGCATCTCCTCTTACTGGAAATGAATAGTTACTGAGAAATTCAAGAGCTCTCCTACCTGCCAGGTACGAAAACTTACTTTACACAGATGTAATTAAAATGGTCTTCTGCTTCTGAGATCTTGCCCAAATGCTTGAGGCATAAACCCTTTAACAGTTTTATCACGCACTGGTCATCTGCTAGTAATTCTGTAGCTGAAAGATGAAGAAAACAGCACATTTTAGAAAACGCTAGAGCAGCAGAACCTTCTACATAGGTAGGTGTGAGCACAATCCGTTTACTGGAACACAGGACAGAAGAACTAACTGGTCAATTTAGTTCATTTAATGCAGAGACAAACACGCATCAAGCTTCTAATAAATTAATCAAACTTTGTCTAAAAATTATTGGGCTGTTCTTTCCCTCCCTACTCTCACTGAAAGGCTATTCCACATTCTTCTTGTTCTGACACCTAAAACCTAATTTAAAGTGTCCACTTTGGAAATACTGAGGTCCAGTTTATAATCTCTTAACCTTATGTGTTCATTACTCTTTAGCATGTAAAGCTCTTCTCCTTCCTTGACTTCTAGTCACACCATCTATGTGTAGGCAAGTGTTCTATCAATTCTCCATCTTTGTTTGGCTAAACAAAAACGTGCCGAACTTTGCTATCTACACCTCGCATCCCCTCGTCTTCTTACCATATCTTCTGTTCACCTCTTTTGAGTTTATACTTCTGAGTGCCCAGAGTCTTATCAGCCTTACCAGTGCCCAGTTCAAAGTCATTACTAACAACACCCTTTCTCCATCAAAAAATTTTTTCATGATACATTTCAAAGAAAACATCTGGCTTTTTCATAGCCGTTCCACACAGGCAGCTAAGGTTTAGAAGCAAAATCTTCAGTTTGCTTGCTCATTTCCAATTCACAAAATAATAACTCAAAAGAATTTCTGCAAAATGTGCGATACTGCATCTTGTGCTGTTGAATGCAGAAAGTAGTGTTTTCACTACTCCAAAGCTTACCTGGCTCTTCCTCTCTCACTCCAGCTGATGAAATGCTGACACATACTGCATGAAACAGCTGCCTCCCTTTGGACTACGCAGTTGGAGGCCTTGATCCCACAACTGGAGTCACTTCTATTGCTAAGTCCCACAGAGGCCCCTACATATATATGTCACCAAAGCAAATCCCAGGGAAGATGCCCAAAGACTATGCAGCAAACTAACTTCGAAGGAACAGGGAAGAGGGCAAAGGTAGACACGCTAAGTATGTACACAATGAGATGACTCAGGGTCACAGAAGAGGTATTTCATAAGAATAATAAAAAAAGTTCACATGGGTGTACTTCCTCTACTTATAACATCTCCTACAAACTGCCTTGGACTGTATAAGCAAACATTTAGGTACCTATCCTAGGCATAATTATGCATATCAGATTTGCATTTCTAGACATTACTTCTACTAGCAGTTTTCCTTTCACATCTCATATGGTATAACACTGCTAGGAGCACATCCCCAGATTCATAATTTTATAGTGTTAGAGTCTCGCACTATGAATCTAAGAGTAATATAGAGAAAATACTTGAAAATACAATTGTTTAGCCCCAAACAGGTGATTCTTCCCCTCTGCTCCACTCTGGTGAGACCCCCCGGGAGTCCTGCATCCAGCTCTGGAGCCCTCAGCACACGACAGAACTGGAGCTGTTGGAGCAGGGCCAGAGGAGGCCACAGCAATGATCCAAGGGCTGGAACCCCTCTGCTGGGAGGAAAGGCTGGGACAACTGGGGCTGTTCAGCCTGGAGAAGAGAAGGCTCTGGGGAGACCTTTAGAGCAGCCTGCCAGTACCTGAAGGGGCCTGCAAGAGAGCTACAGAGGACTTTGTACAAGGGCATGGAGCGATAGGACAAGGGGTAATGGCTTTAAACTGAAAGAGGGGAGATTTAGATTAGATACAAGAAAAAAATTCTTCACTGTGAGGATGGTGAGGCCCTGGCACAGGTTGCCCAGAGACGCTGTGGGTGCCCCCTCCCTGGCAGTGTGCAAGGCCAGGATGGATGGAGCTTTGAGCACCCTGGTCTGGTGGAAGGGGTCCCTGCCCATGGCAGGGGGGTGGAACTAGATGATCTATAAGGTCCCTTCCAACCCAAACCATTCTGTGATTATATGAAACACTGTCAGGAAAGCTCAAGGAAAACATGATGCCTGGAAACAGCAACTCACTGTTTGGAGCAGGTGATACTTTAAATTGTTGGTGTGTTTAAAATATATCCCACTTTTTGATTACATGTCCTCATAGTGTTCTATAAACATGAATCAGCTTTTAGAAATCCCTGCAACAAGCCAGCCTTATCCACTATTTATCAACTAAGAAAAAAAGGGAACAGAGAAATAATTCACTTATGCAAAATAACGTAACAAAATGGGTGACAGAGAAGGTGAAAGGGTCAAAAGCCTGCTTCTAAGATGTCACCTTCACTGAAAATATTCTTCCGTTCTGCTTTTCAATTAATGAAAAAGCAGAGAGCTTTAGCTAGTCTTTCAAGCAACTCTTACAACTCCTGTGTAACACAATGTGCACAGGAAGACCAAGGTCCTAGAAAAGACTGCAATGCAGTGATTTAGCCCATATTCCTTTGTCCACAGGGGCTTGATCCTTTTGCAGGAAGGCAGCATATGACAATGAGATCAAATATTTAGTATGGGAAAACTTTGCAAGAAAAGCTGTGCAGACTGGTTGCACCCCCATAGGAGTTGGGAAAGACTGGCAAGAAATAAACATCAATTCAGCTTTCTCACGGATGGCTAATTAACCGACAGATGATGTGGTAGCAGAGCCTGTTCCTGTTCGGTACTATCCCCTGTCTTATGCTCATTCATAGTGCAAAGGAAGCCCATTCCTGATGTCCCAGCTTTCTACAGCATACTGTTGACACACAAATACCATTCAGCCCAAGGTCACATCATAAGCTGACAGCACTTTTAAAACAGAAGATGGACCTGTCTCCTTCTATTTATCCTTCAAACTGAAATCCAGTAGCTGAGGATAACAAAGCGTCACGATCGAAGTAATCAAGTCAACGCATATGCTGATTTTGATCTAGCAAAATAAACAGTTGTGTAATACATGTCATAAACTATTCCTAATACACATCTGTGGATAGAAAATCACTTGCTACTATTGTAAGTTATTGCTATATTAAAAAGGAAAATCATTCCTGTCTGCATGAACAGTTTATGATTTCATTATCTATGTTCCTCCTATGATCAGATTAACTTTACTAATGGGTGTCTCTTTATTCACAGATGATATCTTTAGCTATTGCACTGTAAAATACCTGCTTAAATGATATCACTGATTACCTGAACTTCTTGCCAATGCTTCTTCTGCTTCAATTAAAGTCTCTAACATGCCTTCTGTTAAGTTGGGACATTTTCCAATCACAGCATAGCCATTCCAGATATACATCATTTCCTAGGTCAGGGAGAAATGACAGCATCGTTAATTACAGTACAGGATAAATGCAGTTATCAAATACTTTTGTTTATTTCTGTATGATGAAAAAGTTACTGATTCCTTAAATAAACAGTCAGTTTGTCAAAACATATTTTAATTGCAACTGAAAACTTGTTACATTGGTTTTCAGTACAAATTAGCCCTGGAAGACAACTAAAGAGCCATTTACTACACACAACGCGAGGAGGCTTGCTTGAACGGAATGCAAACACAATCTCACTTAGAGGTGCAGGCAAGCACCAACAAAACAGACCTAAAACATTCATGGCACATGGCTAACTGTCCCTTGACTAAGGTCTCCTCTTGTTTTTCAGTTCTATCCTAGCCAGGGCAGTAATAACTATAAATAACTACAATTTTATTGCTTCCATACAAAAATACGAAATCTCAGGACAGCAAAACAAAAAAGAACCAAAACCCCTAACCTTTAAGCCAACCTTCAAACAGACCAACAAAATTTTAGAGCCGAACTGTAAACCCCTTAAGTTCCTCAGGTTTGTTTGATGTTCCCACAGAAAGTAACTTCTTTCTTATTCAACTGTTCTTAGAATAAATTTTATTAAAAGCTATTGGTTTAATTCCTATTTGCTATTGGGGTTCTCTCTTAGAGTATATCACCAGACCGAATGTGCCCATTGCCACCAGCAATCACGAGTTAAAGACAGAAACACTATATAGAGTTATGACCAGTCCTCATGACAAATTATTTATTCTATTTATTTATACAACTTAGTCTGTATTTGATAATTTAAAGCTTTTTGGTAAAATTTCTGTATAGAATAACTGAGTTCTGGAACCATAGTACAAAAAGCTGTCAGGCTAGAATAGATGAGACGCCAGTATGTTAACCTCAGTCACTGCTGCTTTCACCATCTGGTCTCTAGTGCCTGGAAAACCCGTGCTAAACCGACTGTATCTAGCGCAGATTTTTTAATATGGTTTTCACACAGAAGTACTGAAACTACATTTATTCTAGGCTAAACCTCTGAGCTAAGGCTTGCTTGAGGACTTGCTCCTCCCAACAAGTCTCTTCACAGTGAAAAGAAAAATCCTGGAGACCAATTCCACCCCCTCTGAGTGCTTTTCCCTGTTCGGCTGCGGCATCTGCTGCCTCGGAATTGCAAGTGCAGCAGAACCACAGGGCGCAGTGCCTGGCCCCAAGGAGAGCCCTTCCCACAGAAACCTGCTCTGCCAAAATCCCAGCAGAACAGCCCGGCCAAACCCCAGGTGCGTATGTTTCTTACTCTCTCCAGTCTCTGCAACCTGAAATGCAAATCAATGTAATCTAGTTATTTCTCTCGTTTCAGCCGTATGACTCGGCGGGAAGTGGCTGCTTGTGAATACTCACGCTGTGCTGTAACAACTACATCACTTCAAGGAGCGCCGTGTCACACACCCAGCTGGTGGGCTGAGAAACGACTACCCACCGGTGTCTCCAAGAGGCTCTCCTTGTTCAGGCATTTTCTTACGGAATATTTAGTAACTAGCCATCTGTTTCTCACACACAACAGCCCAAAGCACCGCACATGTTAACACCACTGCACTTGACAAAGCTGCGGAGTCAAAATACTTTTATGTTCCTTCACGCTTCCTTTGCAGACAGATTTTGATGAGTGCACCATGAGTGCAGCAGTGGGTGCCCTATGCAGCTGTTCTCATCTGGCCACGGGGAACTGGCCAGCACGTTAGGCAGAAAAATTAAAAATTAATAATAATTAAAAAAATCAACAGCATTCAGTGGTTTTGTGGAGTGGCTAAAGGATTTGGCTGTTTCATTCCAGCACCCGTGAGTTGCTCTTCAGAACACCAAATTGCAAACATTCAGGGGCACATCAAATAGATGCTTACATACAGTCCCCAGTTCTTGCATTGTTTCCTTGATTTTTTTTTTCCTCTCCTTAACTTGTACCTTAAAGTCCTCTTTTAGTAGTCTCAGTAAATGACACATGACAGCAGAGACCTAGGGCAAAGTTCCTCAAAAGGGAATCAAAAGAAAGCTGTTAGGGGCATGGTAGTCTGTAGCTGGAATAATGAGTTACACATGCAACACGTTTACGTGTCACAAACAGCTGGCTTAGTTCCCTGTGGCTGGTGCATGCCCCAGTTTTACAGCATTCCTCGCATTCATTTGGCTTTGCTTTGGGAACATTCCAGTCTCCTGCAGAGGTTTTACCTTAGAAACATGGAAAGATACTATTCTAATTATCTCAGGTTTATTTCCATAAATTAAAAAAAATGGTAAAAAGCAGGGGGAGGGGTACTTCTAACTCACCAAAGGCGGAACAGGCAAAGGAATGGGGTTTGAAGAAAGATAACGTCGAGCTTTCCGAATTGCAAACTTTTCTGTAGGCAGTGATTTCCCTGCAATTTTCAGTTTCAAACTGGGAACAATCCTGAAAGTTTAAAGGAAAATGTAAGGAATTTTTCCTCTGTGAACCTTTGGGAGAAAAACAGTCAAACTTAAAAAAAACCCAACCAAACAAAAAACCCCACCAAATCAAAGAGAGCTTAAAAAAGCTGTCACACACGGACTACTGCTACCTCTGAGGAAGCTGAGCAATACATATTCATAAAAGCTGTCTTTATGCAGGGCACGTATATCTCTAGGCTTCCTCTTTAATCAAGCAGGAGGAAGAGGGACTCTTCCCCACCCAAACAATAAATTAGATGATGCACCTAACTTTTAAAAGGCCCATCTCTTCACAGACTAAGGAAGAGGCAAGCTATCTTTTGTCAGTGTTCCTCCCATTCTCCCAGAGACCAAACTGATTCACTTCGTAATGGATCCCAAATCCAGTGAAATCTACTTGTAATGATTATATAACATATGGAAAACCTGAAAAGTATCAGTATACTGTAAGCACATAAAAAAGTGGTATTTAGATTTTATAGAAAATTTGTAAAAATCAAAGTAATTAATTTTCTTTGGCCCAGTAAGGTTTAAGCATTTTTGAGCTTAAACATTACAATCAGGCTAATTCACTGTATTAATAATGCATATATTCACTTGCACATTTAACTATTTCTTATTCCTTTTAGACTCAAAACCCAAGAATCAAGTTGTACTGATGTCTCCACTACGGAGGCACACATCCTGTAGCATAATCCATTAAAGGCTTTCCTATCTTACATGCCATTTTGATTAAAGGAAACAACTGAAAAAGAATGTGAATATTACATGCAACCACAGCAGCCACTGTATGGCTGACAGACCTAATATCTTGTCTCTGAAGTATTTCCAGGCCAGTAGAAATCTGCTGGCTGAACTCAGGGTCCACTTTAGTCTAAGAGTATGTTTCATTCTGCTATTTCTTACCAATCCAATGCTATTTGCACAGATCTTCCCAACTGCACAATGAATAATTTTTCCTCTCTTCCCCCAATACTGTGATATGAAAAGACAGGAAACTGTTGTGACTGAGAGCTAGCAAGTTTTACCTAAATAATTCAACTTCGCTGTCTCCAAAAGGACTGCAGTCATCTGGTCCAAACATACTGAGATAAGCAGCTTTCATGTAAATATAAGTAGCCTGCAAATGCAATCAAGAATATCTGTACAGAAAAATGAATTTATAGCATCACCATTATTGATATAAAGCACAAAACAGCAACAGAGGAAGAAGGTGCTGCTTTTGCTCACAGACAGACATTAGCTTATGAAATTTTAAGCAGGAGAGAAGTATTTTAGAAAGTGGAATACAGAAATTGTTTTTAACACTTATGTCTTTGTTTACTTTGTATCAGCTTATAGTTTATGCCCACATTCCAAGAACAAATGTCATGTTTGCGTAAAGTGAATTTTTATTACTCTCAGGAATACACGCTATGAAACTTGTGAAAAGGTCACGCTCAGAGAAAAAAAATACTACTATACAGCCTGTGTCCAATCGCAACTTGGTAGCATATCCCAAATATTAGGTTCTAGAGAACATGAAACAGTTTTTGAAGGGTTTCATGATTTCAGATTACGAAAAGTACTGATTTCATAGGGATTCCTGAGCAATCATACATTCAGCAACCAAGGAAAGGAAAGCAGCAGACGACATTACAACTCTCGCAACAGGAGAGAATAACAATTGGTGAGTTCTTGAGCACTGCTTTAAGAACTCTACAGTAACCATAAGTTTCAGCAGTTTCCTGGAATATTTTAAGCTGTGCTTATTTATTTACACAGGAATCTAACAGTGCATATACGTGACCATCTTTCACTTAGCTCATGCAGTTACTAGTTTGCTGCTATCACGTTGCACTGTAGAGTACATATTAATAGGAAGCATCTTCTCTGTTTCTCTTAGGCCCCTGCAACATAGTATAAAACTGTACACACAGTTTAAAAAGATGCATGTTAATATTAATCCTACAGCATTTCAGGATATTAAAGTTTTTAGCCAGGCAGCCCCTGGCTGCGGGAGTCCCTTGGGAGCTCCTCAGACGAATGCGCCTGGCTGAACGTGTTGCTGGGATCCCAGGGGTACAGGGGGTCCGTCCTGCAGCTTTCACCCGAGTGCGAGCACCGAGAGAGTTGCTCTCCCTTGGCTGCTTGGACCTTACGTTGGTTTTATTTCCATTTGGCCAGTACATACAAGGTGTAGTAGAGAAAACAGATACCCCCCCACCCTCATAGTCTGATCACATTAAGAAGAAACAAGCCAATCAAGCTCCAATCAACCACACCCCTCCCCAGTGAGACTTAATCCCTTCTGACAGATTTCCCTGGGGCTCGGGGGAAGACAGAGGGAAGACAGCTACCAGGGTTCTGGATGGAAGAGCTCCTCCCTTTCAGACACACAGGGCAAGGCGCCTCTTCTAATTATATTTATTATCCTGGAGGCACCATCACGGCTAGCCTCACTCATCACCAAAAGAGCTTATATCCATAATGGCAACTGACGCCATTAATTGCAATGTGTTGATGACACAACCAGTCAATACACAGCAGAACATCTTTAACAAGCTGTTCTTCACCTACAAGTCAGGCCCAAAAGATTTCTGTCTGCCCACAATCTGTTCAGATTTGAATGTTTGCAATTCACATTGTTCCGTAACAGCCACAGCAGACTAGGTTTCGTTTTACCATCTTCATCTTCAAAGCCACAAAAGCTTCAAAGCTACAAAAACTCAACCCAGTCTGACTGAAAGTTAACAGACACTCCTGTTCCACTTGACTTACCTTTGACCAAGTGTTTTCTTTGCTTAGCAGGTCTGCATAGAAGAAAGCCATCTTCCACTGGCGCTTGTAGGTGAAGCACCACATGAGCTCCCAGTAACACATGTGATGAAATTGCTTCCAGTACTGCTGAGCCTCGCAACATTCTTCATACCTATTAACTGCCTGAACACAGAGATTTCCAAACACTGCCTTAATTATGTGTAAATGCACATACACCAGTGCTGTAACAGACACTGGGGCTCCATGATCTGCCAGCATGGCTCCTGCAACTTCCAAATTATTAACAGCCAAATATTCCCCAAAGTCACGTCTGTTGACTTCACACAAGAGATCCTTGGCTCCACAGTCATCCTGGTGTTAGCAAGTTTACCCCTGCCACAGAGCTCCCCATTCTTGGAAGTTCTATTAAGCCCTAAGCATAGGCAAAATGAATGTTTGTGTCTAGAGAAATTAGGAAGCTAAAGTCAGAGGACAGATGCTCAGCTGACATTTACTGTTGCAGCTCCAAAGATTTCAAGGGAGGTACTGCACTGCACACCAGCTGATGCTCTCTCTCAGAGTATTCTGGACACGCATTCTTCACCTCCCTAAGTCTTTCAAGTCTGGTATGACCCTCCACTCAGACTGAAGGCAAAGGATTACCACTGGATGTTATTCAAGATACAGCTCGCTTCAGGATAGGAAAGACAATGAGAAAACTGTGTCATTAATACTGGCAGACTAGACTATCACCAGAAATTGAGCAGGGTAGCAAAAAAAGCGGGTCAAACAGGCTAGTCAAAATAGTGTTCAAAATTCCTATTTGTAATTCATAAACTGTAAGTGACATATAGGCCAAAGCCACAGGAAGCACTGGCCGAAAAGGAAACATTGTTCCTAGAGGAGTTTTTCTAAAGCTTTTGAGACTTACTTTCCCACGAGCAAAAGGATTACTTACCGCATCAATATTACCCTTTAGTGTTTCTATCCTGCCTGCAAAAAACAGGAATATGGCTCCCTGTAATAAATAATAATAAAAATACAAGTATTCTATAACAGTTTTCAAGCTGACCATACAGTCTAGATTTGGCAAGAAAACATTAAACGACCATACCAAACTAAATTATGATTCATTTTACCTTTGGATAGCGAGCCAAGTAAGGCTTAAGTAGTCTTTCTGCCTCCTCAACATTTCCTTTTCCTGTCCCTAGAATGCATAAAAATGCAAGTGATAAAAATAGTAAGAAAAGAAAAAAGAAAAAAAAAAAGGGAAATGCAAAGTATTGATTAGTCATCCTCATCTGGCCAATATTTAAGTTCCTCTCCCTGATAAGTAAGGTGTAGTACAGGCTGGTCTTGCACTAAGCCAGCCAGCAGGAAGACCTGACCAACATTGTGCTTACTGAATTGAAAACTCACTTATGCACAGCCCAACATCTTTTGTAGAATGCTTTAGCAAAAGATAACAGGGAAGTGTATCTCAGTAGGAAGCTATCACCTCCCAAAAAAGTCAGAGATGACGTATAAACACGAACAAAATATTCAGGAAGTCATCACTTACAGCCATTATTTTAACCTCCCAAATAATGCACCTGGCTACTGAAGACAGATTTAGTTCTCACAGCTTCCTTTGCTATCCCAATCTTCTCCCTTCTTATGTGTCAAACAAACCTCCATCCTGAAGATTAAGATGCTCTCTTCAGTTATGATGTGTATTGTAAAATCACCCACAAATGAGTTATCTTTAATCTGGTCATGAACAAACAATTCACCAACAAACAGGTGATGGAATCATCTTTTCCCCCTCTGCGTCCCACAAGAACTAATCAAATCCAAGAGTTATTATAAACAATCTTACCTAACACAAAGGTCATGAAAGTATGATAGCAAAGCAACAGCATGGTACACAGCACCGACCTAAAGCTGTATGACGATGCTCCTTCTTGAAGCTGCAGCAGACCATGCTCCTGTGCAAAGAGAGGCGAGTAGGACAAAGTATTGGAAAGGAATCCAAGCTGTGTTCTGCTAGTCTGTGAACTTCTGCAGTGTCATCTGCAGATTGCTGGCTCACCAAATTCACAAAATGCACTGACAGACATTGCTGACATAGCAACCAAAGATAAAAACACACATCTGAAGTTATCTAACAGTATTTCATGGAGGTACGCCTGATGACAGAGCAGCAATTTGGGATTTATTACACGGTTAATGCAAGAGAATGCGAGACAACTTATCACCATCAGCCAAGTGCTGCTAAACAGCATTCCAGAAACAAAAAACACAGGGTTTTGAAGTGCAAGGCAAATAACACATACTGCCATTGTGCAGTGTATCCATGTTTCTTGTTATTCACTGCACAAGCAAGTTAAAGATATAAAGAAAAAAAGAAATCTGGAACTAGCAGGGCAAAGGGCAAAAGGATGTTTTTAAGTATCCTAAGTACAAAAGGAGCTTTGCAATGATGCTGGCCCACTACCATCAGTGGAAAAACATGGTGAAAGGAAAAATATTTCTGTTCTCTTTGGGAAGAACTAGAACAATCAAGTGTAATGCTGCATTCATATTAAATGAGAGCATGACGGATAATCGATTTTAAGGATTCAACTCCTGAGGCAACAGCAATTAGCAGCCCATTCTAGGACTGGCTCCATGATATCAACAGCAAGAATATAAATATGCAAACATACTAACATGAGATCTGCCTGCTAGTTAATATGCATGGTAAGACACCCACTGTGTGCTGGGGAAAATTCTGCTTAAAAGTTACACTGTGACTGCAACGGAAAGTTACTGGAACACGATGTAGGTGACTATAAGGACATCCTTTCAAACCAGCTACGCTATAATTAGGGACCCCGAGGGATGTCTATCGGAGCCACTGCAGAAGGTATCAGAGAGAGCACTCACAGCATGATCTCAACACAGATTTTCATTTTATGTATGTCCTTGCCCACAGATGGGTGTTATGCTACCTCACCTTTACCGCTTACTTTGTGACCCGAAGCCTGTAAGCATGTTCTAGTTTTCATCACACGTGTACTTTTTCATTCAACTAGTGTGGTTAATTGTTTTCACATAAATACAGTTATTTTACATTTAAAAAAACCCCTAATTTATTACATTAATTACTGTTATAGGGAAATGTACCATTAACACATATTTGCGGGTCAATTAGTACGACACCTAGCCTGGACAAAATAATCAAAATACTGACTTGCATGTCACTTCAGAAGAAATCAAAAGATAGTAGAATCATTACTGAAAAGTAGTAACTTAACGGAAATTAAGCACTCGGCAAATAAAGCCAGCTTCATTTTCTGCTGAGAACTAAAGTTTGATTAATACAGATAATGAACAAAATATGATATGTTCTGCTCCTTTAAACTGCCCAGATGAAAACCACAAATATTTGAAATTAACAAAAAAGTAGCTCTGTAGTACTGCAAAGTAAATGTAAGACAAAACATCCTGTAGAATTAATTTGGGCAGAAAAAAATTCCAAAGTAGATTTCTTACGTACATTTTTTTTCAAGTGAAAAGTCTTCAGGCTGAATATTTCACTGAGCCTTTACTGACACCAGTACTAGGCCTCACAATGTTTGACGTCTTCCATATATTATAAAAATACATATAAAATGGGTGCTGATCACATTTGTGAATAGCACTGAGAAGGATAGAGAAACCAATTATATTATCCATATGGAATAATTCAATTATTTGTCAAGTTGATCTCACGTATTTTAGTCCCAAAAATGTATTTTAATACAACCAAACACAAAGTTATCATCTGTATGAACAAGGAACGCAGCCCACACCCAACCTGTGCGGGACTGCTTCCTCGAAAGCAGTAACTGTGAAGTAACCACGTTAAGAACACTGCCCATGCATCAGAAGAGGGCTGCAGATCTGGCATACTTGAGACTAAATTCTTAAACCAAGTAGTCACACGGCTATGGGAAGCTCACCAAGCAAGTTAGTTCACTCTGTGGTATGTCCATAATCCTATTTTGTCCAGTACAGGTATTAAAGAATGCTTACTTTTCACTCTGCCACTTGAATACCCCAAACATTCTATACTGAAGTAACAATATAACCGTAGACACAGTCTGAAAAAAGAAGTCTAGAAGCAGTTGTTACTCTTATTGCAACACTTGCTTTCAGAAAAGGCAGCAACAAAGCTGCTTCTCCTCAAAAAACCTCTTGCAAAGTGCTTCTGTTGTGACGAGATCCCCAGGAAAGTGGGATAATGAAGGGTGTCACTGGGAAACCAGCCTCGGATACCGTGCTCAGCCAGCCAGCCTCCCTAGGCTCCCTCTGCGGCTGGCAGAGACAGAGGCTCTCCTCCAAGCAACAACTCAGCACAGCAGCCTAGGCCAGACACTGTGAATCACCTTTTCAAGCACCTACTCTTTCTCCACAGGGAGCCTTCGGAGATTAGCCAGCAAACCTAATCAGCTATGTGAGGTGTCATGAGTTGGGCAATGCTATTACACCCACCTAATCCCCACTGGGGATCAAACTGAGCATCTCGGCACTAAACCACAAGCAGCTACTACTTGAGCCTAAGAAGTAGTTACACTACCAAACTACACTCGCTGCTGCCAGTCACTAAGCGAGTATATTATATTTAATCATCAGTACACACCTTCTAACCATAAATAACTCGTAAATACCTCCCACACCTATGCCACAGGTGATATGAGCAACCCCAGAACACCACGAACGAGCTTCCGAACAAAGTCTATTACAGGTCACATTGCTACAATATAAAACAGATGCCAAGGCAACAAGAGCTCGTAATTTCTCAAAAATACTTAAATGATCTTAACACATTTAGTTTTTGTTTTCACATAAAATGTAAGTTACTCTGAAGGGCATCAGGTATAACGCAAAGCAGGGAGCAATGACACTTTTTAGACAACTGCGATCCAATACAACAACCCTCACCTTTCTGTGCAAGTTGCTCATACCATCCCACTATCTCCTAATTCCCAAGACTATCACTACATTACGTTACATCAGTATCTCATGGATGTGATCTTTGTTCCAAGCCACCCAATGCTCTGCCATTCAGGAGTCCCGACATCAGCAGTGGGGATCCCCACAATGAGTGCAGGATGAACAAGGACAATGCTCAAAACCATTATCAGACAAAGTTAAGAATGGTTCATATTTATTTCAGCTGTCACTGACTAAAATCCATCTACTTCCCTGAAGCAACAGCTCTTGAATGATATTTTTAAATCATTCCTTTTTAATTAGGGATCTTGACAACGAAAGCAAAGCAATGTCATCATTCATGTCCGCTGACCTGCTCGTATTACCTCAGGCTTAGCAAGGAGGATGGATAATATTAACAGCTTTTATGAAGAACAGACTAAATAAACTGGTACATGGGGCATTTGAATGTATCCCATGAAATAATTTTAGATTTAACCTTAACTTAAAATTTGCAGAAAAGACCAAAATGCAGATCAAAAAGATGCTTAGTGGGAAACTGGAATTCAATTTATTACAAACTGAGACATCAAAAATACTCTTCAGTTCAGCTGCTTTGGGAAAAACGTCCTCCCACATCAAAAAGTATAATTTGAAATAAATTGGTTCTATCTGAAAGTTTTCCTGCCTTCCCCTGAAATCATGCTGTCATCTGACCCTCTGACAAATTGCACTTAACATGTGGTGAGCTCATGTCAAACCTTTCTACACTTTAGCAGCACAGTATTTGTAATCATGTAGAAAGTAGGAACAAGGGTAAATATTAGCCTGAGACCTGGCAGAGAGGTCAGTAAGAAGGTTCAACGTTATATGGGAGACAGGGCAAGGACTCTTCTGATCTGAAACCAGAAGTTAGTTATCATTAAACACAAAAAATCCAGATGGGACACATACTCCACCTACTGCCCAGGGAGCGAGGAAGACACGCCTCCCCAGCACAGCATACCTGAGGGTGTGGAATAGATACCTTTGCCCACAAAAAATTTCTCACCGAATTGGTCAAAAACACATTGAACCTCAAACACAGGGCCTATGCCATTAAACACCAATACGCCCGTATTTTGACTAAGGACACAGGGAAAAGGAGCCTGAACAGGGAGAATGGCACAACCGGCACATCTCAGAGTGGAAGGGAACAAATGTGGCCTCAGGCTACTTTTATACTTTATTTATCTTATCCTACCTACTGTTTTGAGACTCCAGACTGCTCTTAAGTTGATCATGTTGTCCGCAGTACCCACAAATGGTTTAAGAAGTAATTGAGCATTGGTCATGTCCTCATTTACTATCAGACATGACACGTCCCTAGGGGCAAATCTGCTGACTTCAAGGCAGATTAGTATTGTGGAAGATATTGCAATGCAATCTGATATCCAGTTTTAATAAACACATGACCCACACCAAAAGCAAGCTGTCCCTCCAGTGCACTGTAGCGCTCTCAGGCAAACTGTAAACAGCTCAAGGCACTAACCACGGCTCTCTTGTCTTTCGCACAGTCTGACGCTCACCACGAGCACTGAATTGAAGAGACTGCAACATCAAACACAGATGTATTCAAAACTCCTTTCTTCTGGATGGGGTACAGCACACGACACACAAACTTTCCCTCTCCCCCTCTGTCACTGTTCCACCTTCAAGACTCTTGTCTGTACTGCCGGGGACAGCTTCCTCCTGCAGGCTTTGGAAAACCACCACTGGAAAGGATTCCAAATGCAACTGCAATTTTGCTTTTGGCTATGGGCATCTGACTCAAAAATGCTAAATGCAGAAAGACTTTTTTTACTATGTTAAAATAAATGACCATCAATGAACTCGGATCAAAATGTTGAAAATACTCCTTTTTTATGGTGTGCAGACAGCAGGTTTTTGCTTAAACTTATGGTAATCTAGGTCACGCTTCAGCGAGTTATTAAAAAATTGGAACAGGAGCTGACTCATCAACACAAATATCAGCCCACTCATAGCCATACAAGAAATCTCAGGGCCAAAAGAAAACAACGGAAGTTCAATTAGAGGGACAATTTTCATCTGCAGTAATAAGACAAGGATTCAGCAAAGTATTCTCAGAACTCTGCTGGTGCGTGAATTGTCCTTACATTTGTAGCAGAACATTTTGCTTTAGATGTTATTTGTTTTTGTAACTGACAGGTAGAACTATTTGATTCTTTGTCTCTAATGGTTGTGAAACAGGTCCTGGTCAGCTCCTGGAAATTTCCAAGTTCTAATTCATGCTCTGGCAAAAGCTCCTTGCTTTTAAACAAGGTATTTTATTTTCAGATCAAAGATCCTTCCTGTAAACTAATAAAACAGTGACAACATTCATCCACCTGTCACACAAGGTTGCAGCTCTGATTCAGAAAAAATTTTTCTCCTTGAAACTTGTTTTGTAAATAGAAAGCATTACAAAACAGTTAAGTTTTAACTTGTTTATACAGCTTTTGTTGTGTTTGCAGGACATCATACATTTACCCTACCCAGCATTTGTGAAATTAATGTGACTAGTGGTTTAGGTTAAACTGACCGTGTTTTCTTAACCCAACTTTGAGTGAATCTCATGTTCTGGTGGTATGAGAGGCAAAGGCAGGTGCAAGGTATGAAGGCCAAGATATTCCCATCAATTTAGTACCCTATTTTGAAACAACAAATCCGCAAAAAAATAACAAAGCACTTTCTGTGCATCTGCCCTGCAGAATAACTCAGGCTCATGCAAGTTTATTGGTGCTTTGTTACTAAACTTCTGTCCTTAAACTGCATGCACAAACAACATAGGTCAGACTGGTTACTCTCTAGGCAAAAAAGCACTTACTCTTTAAGGCAAAGAAAATTTAGGTGCCACACTCAAGTTATTAGTTGCTATTAAAGACATGGAGAAAAAAAAAAGAAATTAAATTGCATTTTTTTTTCCCAACTGGATGTCATGCAGGAACCTCTCAGGGACATTCAGATGCTGTAACAACAGTAACTATCAGGTACGATAATATATTAAAAGGCTAAGAATACACTTTTGGCTATGGATTTCTAAGCACAAATATACACCAAAAGACCAGTAACTAAAAACCTAAATACGTCAACACCACTGTATTAGCCATTGCCTTTATCATGTTTCAAAACTGTATCCTCATTGAACAATGGTATCACAATCTTTGAAGTGTAACAGTTCAAACAAAAATATAAAGGAAAACTGAGCTGCACGAAAGCATCAGTGCCAATAGTGCACATGTGATACCAATCAGAGTGTTTCAGAGGGTTACAGCTAACGAGGGGAAGAAGAGAGAAACTCCTGTCTCCATTTTTTAATTTAAGAGTGAGGGGAATGTACCAATAATATGTATTTCACATTTACCTTGTTTCCAGAAAATCCAACAAACTCCAGTAATCTCAGAATCCGTGCGGGAAACATGGACAATGTCTACATAAAGAAATGCAACAGTTATGCAGTAACAGACTTTCTGCCTCTCAGCTACCAGCTGCCTCCTACAACTTTTCCAAACACATGAAATAATCACTAAAATTACTGAAAACATCTTTCTATGTCTGAAAATTTCCTGGGTAAATGTATATACCTGCTATACTTTACAAATTATTTAAACAGAAATACCTGTTGAAGATACGGATCCTGTGGCTCCAGGATTCTCTGCACAGAAATATGTTTACATAGCACATGCTTAGTAACTCTAGTACTTCTCGGATGTTTGAGAAGCACTGGGCGCACACCACACAGAACGTATTTGTTCTTTGTGCAGTAAATCTAACATCTGGGTATGCGCCAGACTCACACAAGGTAATGCAAGCAAGGGGAAGCTCCAGGCACTTTCTGCAGGCCACCACCTGAACAATCACGTCACCCCTCATCATCTCTGGATCAACACCTGACATACCAGGAACCATCCTGCACTACCTGACCACCCGCTTCCTGAGTGGAACACAAGCAACAACAGTCAACAGCGGCCTGAACAGGACCCAAGGCCCCATTCACTGCCCCACCAACCGCCCTGCTAACAGCCAAGTCCCTGGTTGCTTCCCAAGCACCATTTAAACAGTAAATGGAAGTCAACAAACACAGGAAACTGCTGCTTTTGTGCAAGGCTTCTCCTGGCCCCCATCCAGTGGGTCCTTTCTCATGAGACTGCAACACCTTCCCCTCCAAATGTCCCCCAAGCATCGGTCACTCGGCTAATGAACACCCTTACTGGAAGCAGGGCGCAGGCACTCGGCTGTATTCTCAAAGAATGTGCACTTAGCCCATGCCAGATGAGCTAATTTCTTAATAATTTCCCCATAAAGATGAGCAAGTGGGTCTGCACACGCTGAGCAGTACTGGTCCATGTTGCAGGTAAGGGCCTCTTTGTTTCTGAAATGTATTACTATCCGATGTTCTTAAGACCACAGAGTGGGATCCTGCAAGCGTCAGTGCACGTACCTAACTTTAACCGTATGATTAGTAACACTGATGTCAGTGGAACTTCTCAGGTATTTAAGTCAACATTTTGGGGATGTTGTGCGACTTCAGCACAAGAGAAGAACTGTTGGTACGTACCAGATTAAATGCTCCAACTCCAAGTTTTACACCTCCCTCAAAATGCAGATGGTTCTCTCCTTTGACATAGTGTGGAGACTGTATAAGGCTGTCCAGCTCCCTGAAAATGCACAAGATTTTGTTATATTGTCATCAAATACAAAGATTAACCACCATTCTGTAAGAAAGTAATCGAAATGCCTTGAACTACACAGTAGTTCAAAAAAGGTCAATTTGTCACCTCCCCCAGGTGAACATCATCTACAACATTTTGTTGGATTTATCAACAAACCACTTCTGTCACATTACTGTCAATTCAAAAAGATGAAGTCCTGGAGATGAATTCCTGCCAAACAGACAGAGTCATCTTGTAACCACATTTCGGCCTGAAAATGTTTGAAGCATGGCTGTTGGGAGCAACACCAACCTTTACTACTGCAAAAAGAGATGATGAGGCAGTGCAGGAGAGTTAAATTTAAATTAACAAATTTGATTTGCGTTTCACCAATCCTTGGATTAGGCATCCCCTTTTTGTGCATGTTCATTCAAAAGAACATTTTGTTATATATGGGAGAAGACAATAGTAAGAAATAGTCTAAAATGGGTAAGTATATCAGAAATTACTTTTCACTTATTTTTCTAACGTTCATAGACCTCAACTCAGTAGTGTCCCTTTATTTCCCTGTGTAATCCAGATGGATTTGAAACTGCTTTGTCTCCAAGCTTTCCATACCTATGTGTTCTTCATGCTGTTGTTTTAGTTTCATTTGTTAATTACCAGGAGAAGAAAAGCACTGTTTTAATGGCAGCCACGTATTTGTGTTCAGGCTGCCATGTTTTTGTCTGCTGGCTGCTGCCAACAGATACAGGACTACTCATTGTAATTGCAGTCTTTACAATGGACCTGCATTTAGAGTTGCCTTCAACCCACACAAATGTGGACACTATCATCGCTGCCTTTCAGTATACTTCTGCAGAACCTGGACTGGGTGCTGGTTTGTGTCTGCTAGACACGTGACTTTTTGTGGCTGTTCTGAGTCCAAATTTAAAGTTCTAAAATAAAATATGATGCACATTTAGCTTTCACTTTTTTAAATTATTCATATAAGTCTGCACTATGGTGAAAGTTTCCTGATATATTTTATTCGCTGACAATAAGCAAATGTTTCATTCTGAATTATTCTTTCATTTAATTCCATCTTTTCTACAGTGTATGTTAACCTTTCCTCCCTGAGAGTTTTAAAAACTGCACCTTTGCAATATTTACTCCTTCTGTCTTTTCAGGGTTGCTGTTGTCTGGATTATCAAGCAGCTGATAGCAGGGAAAGGAAAGATGGCTTTTTGTATCAGAAACTATGTTGTAGGAAATACTGATCAATCAAAGCAAATAAAGTCTCATTTCCATATTTCATTGTTTTCTCTGCAACCTGTTGCACCACGGTCTCACCAAAACTACAAAAAATCACTTCTTCCTACAAAGGTACAGTACAAAAATCCTAACTGCCAATCTCACATACAGACTTTCCCTTTGTTAAAATAAATGGTTTGGCAATAAACAAGCTGTTACTAGCATTCTTCTGAAGAAGACCACCTAAGAGCTACTAGATTCATAACACTTTGTTTTTACATATACTAGAGCGGATCTTAATTTATTGAGGCACAACTGAGTATGCTTCCCATGCTGTACATTTTAACATAATTTTTAGTATTTACTACTATGCTTCAAAACCTTTTGCATGTGTTGAAAGTAGCTCTCCGTAATTTCCTGGATGAACAGAAATCTGCTTGAGCAGATGTTTTTGGCTTATAGACACTAAATAATGGACATACTGTGAGTTCAGATAAGCAACCTTGCTTACCATTTTCAATAGCATGCACTTTCTCTTTAGAGCAGAACAACTGCCATCTTTAACAAGATTAAAAGCCCAGCTAACCAAATATTCCACAAAGACTGTGGCATATGCTTGGAAAAGCATCCTCTAGGAACTGACTGTTCAGGGACTTCATGACATGGAGAGACTGCACCTGTTCTACTATGCTAACTAGCCCCTATAAACCTATTTCCTGGAAATACGCGTAATGTTTCTTTGAAGCCATTTATACTTTCCATTGCACGCTCTTCAGTTTATCGTCTCTTAATTTTGTTTCAGTTTCATGCATTAGTTACGGAATTGTGCTTCAGGTACCGGTTTTGAATGTTCCAAAAAGCTGCAGCTAGAACCATAAAGAAATGCCATTTCATACGCCTAAAGACTGCGAGACCTCCCAATTGTGCTATGCAGACACAATGAGTACTACATCATTTAGAACAGTTATATTTTGACATAATTTCAAAAGACAGCATTTGAAGTGTGCAAACCTTGGGAGTTAACAGGGTTAGGGTCCACTACGTTCATATCAGCGTCCTTCTTTATGCGAAGGAGGAACTTGTGTTGGCTAAGAAAGGCTATAGACATGAGGCCCATAATCAAGGTTGCAATAAATACAACAGTAATTAATTTGTGAACTGGACAATCCAACCAGCAGCACTTTTTACTGGAAGGGTACACCAAATCACATCATCACCCTGACTCACCTGTATGTTTGGTAACTGTTGCGGACTTTAATGCCTCCTTTTATGAAGCTAACCATATTCTCATCCTGTTGGAAAGGGAACACATTAGCAGTATGAATTTACAAGCATTATAAAGAGCTTTTGTCTTCTTGAGATGAACACATGCCTTGAACATAACGATCATGACATAGACAATATAAGTCTCTGAGAAACAATACATGGATTTAGGATTTCCTTTTTATATTAAAGTATTTTTACTGTGTTCAGACATATACACTTTATTTTGATGCCTTCTGTGATTAGTTTAGCCTCTCTGACCTTTGGACCATCTGAATTTGCATCAGTGACCACAAGGACTAAGCTAACGAATGGCAACTAAGGCACATGCATTTGTCCCTCTTTCAGAATATAGCTTTCTCTCATTTGTCCTTCAGCACAGTTAAGATCTGAACACTTCCTGGCTCAGAACCAGGCACAAATAACTGCCTGTCCTCAGGAGTCTACAGAATACAGTTTCACATCCTAAAATGGAAGCAGGGTAAATAAAGTTATGCAGGATATTCTCTTTCTCATCTGAATATTCAAGTATCTATGAGATCCATCCTACATTACAAGCTACAACGAACTGAGAACTTACAGCAAAGTGTATCTGGGGGACCATTAGTTTACAGTTGTAGCCCAAAGAGAGAACTCTCTCATAACTTCCCGGTGGCAGTTCCTTACCTCACTCATCATATATAATCTGTCATTCTAGTTTGTTCTGATATCTGCTATTACTTTGAGATAGGAAGACTACATGTGTTTTAGCCAATCATTTTTCTGTGATGGCATTTTAAGCGGCTGTATGAAGCACTGTGGCGAAAAGAGCATAGATTAGATGAAAATTTGGTTGTTTTACTGTGTTGTTAAGGAAATAGGGCCCAAATGTGCTCATCAATATGTAAACAAAGAGACAGAACCTGCCTCAAAGAGCCTCCCATCCTCCTGTAAGTCAGAAAGATAATTCAATCAAAGTTACAATTCAACTTCTTCCAGACTCTGCTTTCTATGAGCTAGTATAGGAAGCCCAGTGGCCTGAACTGAATGGCAGGGGCTTACTCCTGCAGCCTCCAACATCACCACTATCCTGTGTCCTTGACGGTCATTCTTAAGCAATATTATCAAGAGTGGTGCATAGTTTCTGTCCTCAATTATCATAAATGAACATGTAATTCCTGATGATATATCCACAGAGACTTGAATCCTAATCATGTGCCAACAAAATAACCACAGAGAAATGCAACCCTGTTTTTATTTGTAGAAAAAGTTAGGTTTTGATTGACAACAGAAGGGCGTGGGGTACAGCGTACCTAACCATATGTAAAGATTCAGTTGTATTTTCCTTTGAATGGAAAATGGCAAGAAGAAAGAAGATGGTTTTAAAATGTTTAAATCCAGAATACTCGTGATACCAACAACAGAGGTAACCAACGTGAGAATAGCCCAGCCCCTGAAAAATCCTGAGACTAATTTTTATGTGTTTACAACCGCGTTTGGCCATTTACATTAAGCATTAAAACCAACCCACTTCAATAGTTGTTGGAACCAAGTGCCTTTGTTTAATTTTTAAAACCAGTTCATGTGTTCATGAAATATCAAACACAGAAGAGGAAGCAAATGAACATGCATTCTTTGTGCAGAGAAGGACAAGAAACTGTTTTCTTACTCTTATACTCCTCATGTATATATAAACATTTTTAAAAACAGATACCTGCAAAAATAGTGCTTAAAACCAAGAGACACTGCATAAACACTCCTTTCTTACAGGCATGATGGAGATGTTCTGAAAAGCCTCGCTTCCATAGCTTCAGATACCACCCAAACTGTCTCCAGTGCCAGAGACTACTCATCCTAAAGCAGCAGGCATATGGAAATAGGTAGCTACACCTCAGCCATTCAAAAATCCAGCATCTTGCCATAAAGTGATCATCATCAGCACTCTAAAAACCTTCAGCAGAAGCTACTCTGACTACTAGTTTTGCTATGCAGCAGTAGTTTCTAGCAGAGGGGCATGGCAGATCACTGAAAAAGGCTACACGGTTCATAAACTATCATCAGCAACATAAATCAGAGCCCATCTGGCAACTCCCAAACACTATAAAATCACCACCTGCATTTCATTCTCCATCAGCACCTTTGAGCCAAGAAGCAGAAGCCCTTTGTGAATGTGACTTTTATTATCCCCTCTGCATAGATGAAGAGGCCCACTGTCATATAGCAACTACAGTCAAATCAAGAAGAAAAAATCAGCTATTCCAACTATGATTAACAATTTAAATTGCAAGCTGGAGCCCTGGTAAGTATTACTAATGTGGATCCATCAAACAAATCAATCTTTATTAGTACAGACAGTTAAAATTCACTGAAGAGGGACAGCTCCCCTTCTTTTAAAGACAGGCAGCACTGTTCAGCAAATGGCACATGTGAAGCCTAAAAGCAATGCAGACCATAATAGCTGTTCAAGAACAAACAAGTGAGGAAGCAGCCTTGGGAAAGCAAATACCAGCCTGACAAACAAAAATCTCACTTGCACTTCAGCATAGCACAGGTTCAATGACCATCTCTTCTCTTTTTTTTTTCCAAATCTGATATCCAACACACAGCATTTGAAAATTGGTGCTTGCTGCGGTTTCATTTCACACATGCAAAAGGGACTGGAGAAGGGTGTCACAGGGGATTCGGTGCTACGCGCATTGAGATAAGCACTTTTAGATAATCATGAGGGATAACAAAACAGTCTACTATCTCATCAGCAGATAGTGCAGATAAAATCCACATTTAATCCAGATGAAAGAGTCTTACATCGTTAGGTCAATTAGGGCCTTCTACCTTTTCATTACTTTTAAGAAAATAAACCTGTATGGTTTGTGCTTTTTTTCCCCTAAAGAGTCACACAGGAATCCATACCTGGAGGAATGTGAGTGCTGCTCTCTGAAGTAAACATTCAGCATAGCAAATTTCTGCATGGATTTCCTCTATTGTCACATGGAGAGGGGAAGAAAACGAATCAATCAGACAAAAAGCAACTAAAAAACACTCAGACAATTAATATAGGAATAAGATCACAAAGCTCAAACTGAGAAAAATACTTTCCAGATTTGCCGCAGTGTTTCAGTCCCAGACTACTGAAGTAACTCCTGACAGAAATGACACACAGTTACAGAAATTTTCCAGGAATTTCTCTGGTGCTTTCCAGAAATTCCTCAATCTAGAACCTTTCTAGGCATTTTAATACTTCTTCCTAGGCATTTCTTTACCCAGTAATTTTTTTTAAAATGCTGAGTCAGCACTCAACAAAAACAGGTAGATGGATGTGGCAAGACAGCAATTGCCAAAACACTGATCCAGCAAACGCCAAATCAGTGATTTTGTCAGTGAACTCACAATCTGCAAAAACATGCTGGGTGAATAATTCCACATAATTCAAACTGCAGAAAAAAAAAAAAAAGACGAAAACATTATGCATATTAGAGATAATGTTACCTTCAGTAAAGTGTTCAAGGCTTTGTCTGTGGACAAGGTTGTTGATAGAATCAGCTACCGTAGATTTCTTCCTAAATCTGCAGAGAAGTCAGTTTGGTCACTTTGAACACGGAGCATCAACAACAGAGAACGCTACCTTTCAGCTGGGCACCTCTACAGTCACTCACGCACTTCCAGCGCTCACCAACCCTCTGTCCTCTTACCACATACACAGACTTCAGCGTATTCCATACAGAACTTTGTCAGCACGGTCCTCCTGGGATCCGTCTTTTACCCTTCATGTGTGGAAATCGGTCTTGATGAAGGCAGGGGATAATAGCGCTTTTTAATTTATTTTGAGTGTGTGCATGCATGTGTGTACAGAAGCCGGAGCATAGCTGACTCAAAGACAGCCATCAACAAACAGGAAGATTCTGCAGTGTCTGTAAATGGCAAACAACTTCCAGACACTACAGAAGCGGGGCTACAGATTGGACAAGAATCAAACTGACACGAAAAATCAGATCTTGCAGTCAACTGATGCTGTGAGGACCAGACTGCTGAAAACGCTATGTTGTGTGGTCTGACCTCCTTGTAACTGACCCTCCCTTTAAGCAGGAGGCTGGAGTAGATGACCTCCCGATGTCCCTTCCAACCTCAGTATTTGTACAAATTCTATGAAATCACATATCCTTTTTTAACCTGTGTGGCTTCCAAAACTTTCCCACGAACAGACTATTTATTGGCTGAGTTGCTCCACACTTACTTTTGGCAGGTGGCTTGAGCTTCCTTCATTGTGTTTCCTGCATTCAGTATGTCCTGAGGATCAAATGTCATCATAGCTTGCATTTCCAATATGGTGGCGTAAGTCAGTGCATGATACATACTGTCTTTAGTTCTGCAAGAAAACACCAGATGCAAAGCACAGCTGATTTATTATTAATTTTAAAAAATAAATACAAAACCAGTTCCAGAAACTCACTAGTCTGATGAGAACTAGGTCTAAATAAACTAAAAATCAAACATAAAGGATATGTGAAATAATCAAGAAATGCTAATACACTGAGATTTTTAAAGGAAATCACATCTACAGCTCCAGTTTCAGTAACTGTGCTAAACGTTCCAATTGTGAGCCAAAGGTAGGTGTTTAACACACTTAACGAAGCGCAGGAATTAACCACATTGCTAACCATTCAGGGACCATAGAATCATGGGGTTTTTTCTAATGGAGTATCTCATGAATACTACAACACACAACATAAATCCAGATATTCTTCTGGTTTGGGACAGTTACTCAGGACAGACTCACGGAGATAAGTAACACAATACTACAACTATGGCCGAAGTAGAATCTTCTTCAAACAGATCTTCCCTCCAGAAGCATTCCAGTCTACACCAACCATTACAGCTTCTTCCTCCTCTGTTTCTGCCAACCTTCCGCCACAATTTGTTCAACTTAAATATTCTTCTGTGGGATTTCAGATGGTGCCTCTTTTACAGTAAGCCAAAAATTTTGGCATTAGCACAAGGAAAACAATTAACTCCTACCTGTAACCATTGCCAGCATCTTTCCTCTGGCAGGAAGAAGGGTTTGAATTTACAGCATTCAGCCAGTACCTATGTACGGTACAATCCTCTGCAAATGAATCAAAATATCTTCAGGCCTAGAGGTCCAGTAAAGATGACTTGGGAAATACGTTAAAGGGCAAGCTCAGATGAATTCCTGCCACAGAAACTCTCTGTTGACCTTGCTAATCCACAGCATGACTTAGGCAAATACTGCTAAAGAGCATCAATTGCTATTTCAATTGTTTACACTTTTAGAATGGATCAGGTAGTTCTATATGGCAGGGAATATTCAAAAATACTTGCAGTCAAACAAGGACATCCTTTCAACAAAATCTCCACCCTCAGTACACCTTTTCTTAATACATGTACTTCAGGTGTTTGTTTCTCAAAATGAGTCACTTAGTTTTCTTCTTCTGCTAAGGAGCAAGTGGTGTGCCAGCAACGTGCCCTTGCTGCAAATCAGGCTAATGGTACCCCGGGCTGCGTTAGGAGTGTTGCTGCCGGCAGGTCGAGGGAGGGGATCCTTCCCCTCTGCTCAGCACTGTTGAGGACCCCCTGGAGCTCTGCGTCCAGTTCTGGGCTCCTCAGTACCTGGACGCCCTTGAGAAAGTCCAGTGAAGGGCAAGGAGGATGATTAAGGGGCTGGAACATCTCTGCTATGAGGAAAGGCTGAGAGAGCTGGGACTGTTCTGCCTGGAGCAGAGAAAGCTCAGGGGCTCCTATAATGTACCGAAATACCTGAAGGGAGGATAAGGGAGGATGCAAACAGGATGGAGCGAGGTACCTACTGACAGGACCAGAGGCAATGGGCACAAACTGAATGTCAGGAAAGACTTTTTTACTATCCGGATGACCAAGCACTGGCACAGGTTGTCCAGAGAGCATGTGAAGTCTGTATCCTTGGAGATGTTCAAAAGACATGGGACACAGTCCTAGGAAAGTGTGTCTAGGTGGCCCTGCTTGAGCAGGTGACCTCCAGAGGTCCCTTCCAACCTCAGCCACTCTGATTCAGCGGTTTTAAGGGGAAAAGCCAAACTTTAAAGACACCTCAATCCATTTAATTTCTCCCCTGGAAATTTTCTTGCTTCCCCAGGTTTTGATACCTGGATTGAATGGAAAGATAATTTTAAGGATAACTTTAGACAATCCTACATTAATCAATGATCTAATAACTCATTGTGGTGACCTGGATCCCTTTAAGTTTTCTAACAATTCATACATTATTATGCATTAATTCTTTTGCTCAATGGAGTAAAACATCCTTAAGTATCCTGAGGAGTCCCCAATCTTTGGTTAGTGTTTCACAGAGCCAGAAAATAACCTTGTCTACATCTAAAGTAATCCCCTCTCAATGACATTACGCATTAAAACCACCAAAGAAAAATACAAGCGATGATACGATCCTAACTTTCTTTGTATATGTATTTTTTGAGATCTAGGGATTAAAACAATACCTAGCACTGGCACAGCCAGCATCACCCAGTATCTGGTGCTTCCCCTGCCAACCTTCATAAAGACAACGGAGGGCTACCTTTTCCAATACACACGGCACAGAGCAGGGGGGCTGTACTGAAGAAATCTGCAGTGTACATCTTTCAGCCTCACTGCAGTCTGTGCTTTGTGGCTGTCCTTAATTCCTAGTTGCCATCACCATGTCCACAGGTTAGCTAACAAGCTGCTCTAAAGCAACCTAGCATAAAAGCCATTTGGGGAAATCACCTACAACCATAAGTACTATGAGCCCCAGACTATGCTAACATCCATCTCATCTCCAGCACGAATAAGAACAGACAGATAGTGGAGAAATTTGTTTAAAATCCAGTGAAATCAGGACAGCTCTGTCTTGGCCTCCTGTATCACGATTTTTTCAGTAGACTCATCATGCAAAGTAGCAAGAAAATGAGCATACTATAAAATGCCAGCCTGATGAAGTGTTCCTGTTCATTTGATTACTCATCAGCATCAGTGGGCGCAGAGAAACACACTTCATCTCATATTTACTACAACAAAACCCTTCAAAAGGTTCAAATTCAAAGCACAGGGAAGGCACTAACATAGTCCCCTTCCAAAATTTTAGAAATTTGCTTTCAAAATCAAAGCAGATAAAGACTAAATTCACTGCACTAGAAGGAAAATTGATACTTTTCACACATACGTGGTAAAGAGGGATTTCCCTCTCCAGTAATTTGCTTCTGATACCGTATCACTCCTGCCCTCATCAATGGTCTCATCTATTTTGCTTCTAATATTTTAAAGGAGGTAATAATTAATGTTTATCGTTAGTCAACTGGTATTTATCAACACTAACATTTACTCTGTTTTTTTCAGGGGCTGGGAGGCGGGTAGAAATGCAACCAAATGTAACGCTTCTCTCTGTCATTTATACTAACCGTACAATTAAAGTTGCCAGTTACATCCTGGCAGATTGCCAGAAGTTTTCAGGCCAGCATTTTATATGGATGGATATAGAATGAATCTTGATAGCTTTTTTTCTTCTTCTTCTGATTCTTCAGCAGCACTTTCTCCAGGACATTGTTGGAGTTAACAAGCCTTTATGACATAAATACAACTAACATTATGATTAATGACTTATCCCAGTAGTTGGTATCACATGGCTGAATAAGAGGATTATAAGTAATATCTTTAGGCACTTATGGAGTTCTGCCACATGCCTGTTCTCCAGCTACGGCGCAATCATGATCATCTTGTAGCACTGCCCTTTCTTGCAAGATGATGGAGAACACTTTTATTTCTGCTTGAAACCAAGTACCTAAGTGAGGACTGCAACAGCTTTCCCCTCCAGCTGAAGTATAAAAATCAAAAAGCTTGCCTTGTTTTGACCTCAGAATTTACCCAGGCGCTCATATTTTTTGCAAAAAACACAGTGCCCAAAATCTTTTTGTGGATCCCTTTACAGTAATCCAGCAGGCAGGACATGCATCACCAGGTTACAGAAACCCCAGGCTCAAGTTTGTGCCCTGATTTGGTAGCAAGATGCTTGTAATGAGTGAAACAAATCCAGCAGCACAGAGTGAGAAAGTCCCTCCGCAGACCAGCCAACAGTCCATTCACCCAGGGGCACCCAAGAGCGAGAGGGACCCAAACCAAAACTGCATCAGGACAATGGGGTCACACAGGGCCTCAAGGCTTTCCTCATCTTTGATCAGAAGTTCCACCCAATGTCCAAAGAATCCACTAGCCCTTTTGCATGGGCTTCCATAGAAAGGCTCTGTTTTGATGAACTGACATTTTCCAATAAAAACCTGTTTCCTATGAAAACTCCCCTCCTAACATTAAGTATACAACTAGAAAAGACCATTCTAATCAACCACCCAGCCTGGTTCCTCGGTTACCACAAGCTGCTAGAATAGTCTAAGTCTGGTCTAAGCGAAAAAATGTGCAGTTCAACAAGAGTACCCCTGAGCCTTTTGATCTAAGCCATTCTCCAAAATTCATAATCTATTAAGTTCTTCCAGCTAGGAGGTGAAACCAACAGTTAAATCAGGTTTTGGCAGCAACGTATTTATTTACAAAGACTATAAAAGTTGTGTTCCTCCAGACTCCAGGCATAAAAAGATAAAAAAACCCTAGAAATAATTATCTTCTTCACTTTCTTGACATTCTTTACAATAATAGCTAACTCAAGCTTTCTGCAGAGCTGTACATCACCTTTATCCAACCGCTGTCTAGAGCTTCACTCTACCTCCAGGTGCTTCCCCTCACCCCTTCACCACTCTCAGTCTGAGGATCACACCATCTTTGTTAGATCAGTTCCCAGAGAAAGCCCCTCCACCCCACTGAACAACCTCATGTTTGCTTTTGTTCTACAAGGGCAAGAACATTTCACCACACCATGAAGACAGCCATTACAAAAGGCTTCCATTCCCTAGTAACCTCTTTAAACTTTCTAAAGATCAGCATACAGAAGATAACATTTAATAGTGTAAATTGGGTTTCTATTAAAAATTCCAGCAATAGTAAATATGTACCACAGAACTACACTATTAGAATCAGTTTCACAAGTAACTAGCGAAGCAGTAACACCATCTAGTCATACCTACCCGAGACGCTCCCAACATCAAAGGATTGAACTTACCTTTCAAACAGTCATTCTAGAACTAACATTCCACAACCACCACCAAGTGCTTTTTGGAGACTATTTTCAGAATAAAGTCAATTGCCCGGAATGAATTGTTCTCATACTGTTCTTGTGATACTGCAAGCAGCAACACAGATGTGTCGCAGCTCATTCAATGATCCAGATTACTCTGTGTCATCAATTCATTTCTATTATTTACCATTTTCCCAAGTGATTTGACATCAGCAAACTTATCAGGTGACTATATCATGCTTTCCTTCAGGATAATTATTAAAATACTAAACATTTGTCTTGGGGAAGGGGACACCTCATCAGAATCAACTCTTTCATTTATGAGTATCTGTATACAATTACATGAGGGCTGAAATCTAGTCAGCTTTTAATCAATTTCCTGTATGTATCTTGAGGTTGAGGAGGAAGATGAGATTTTTTTCCCCACTCCAGTGACCAGACAGTTTCAGTGTCACTGATTGTCACAGTTAAAATGTTACATATTGGAAACCACTGCTGCATTTGGTGACTGAATTTAAGGAATTTCTTAAAGAATTCTAAGAGAACACTCCATATAAAAGATTAATCTAATTAAACTTACTGCAGAAACCACAAGATAACTAGAGTCCACTATTTTACAATGATTGTTAATGATAATAAAGAAAACTGACTCTAAAACCTAAGAGGTAGCTGAAGAAACAAGTTTGGTAACAAAGCAAAAATGCCAGATGATTTTTTTTACGAAATGAGGTCTCTTTATGATGGATTTGCTTTTCTAACAGGAAAAGAAGAGCTTTATCTCAACACAAGTCTAGACATCATGCTCAGATATTTATTTTTAAGCTGCTAGGAAAGATCTTCCGATTTTAACTCTCACACATTGCCAAATCTGCTCTCAGTTACACATGGTACAAATCAGCTGAAAATACACTTCTTGTGGAAGCCAAATGTGAGTAATTTAGTGAATCTGCAATTAAGTAATACAGAGCAGACTACGTCCTACAACATAAGTGGTAAAGCTGCAAAATCTATAATATGAAATTCTTTACCATCATGTAACAACTGAAAAGTATTTCTTTAAACAAAGATAGTATGTTTATGGACTGTGAAAATCAATTTCAAATCTTAGCACGCTAAAAGGCAACAGTGAGGAACTGATGACTCCTAAAGAAAATACTCAGTATTACCATATGTGCCCACTCTACAACTCTTGTCATTCCCTAAAGAGATGGAGTGTGCCATAACAGAAATCTGTGGGGAAATTTAGCATCCTGGTTCTGTGCAACACTCGCAAAGACTGTAAGTCTGTATTTCCCTCATTGCCAAAGGACAATAGGAATAAGGGCCTCCTCATAACAACAGGCTAACAAGAAAAATCAGTTTCAAAATGGTTTTGCAATGTGGAATACAGTCAGGTACAAATCCAGAGTATCAGCTCATGAAAGACGTTCTGCAGGGCCCAACAATAACTGAATGAAAACCATATGCAATAGAACAAAAATGGATTTATAGAAAAAAACACCCCCACATCCTCACTAGCTTTTGCAGTGTTTTGGAAACCCCCTTCAATAAAGCATCTCCCTACTTTATACTAAGCACTGAGTAAGCATTTCCAGATGGGCACAGGGGCTTTACTGTCAGTATTTAACGAAAACACAGTTACTCTTCTTACCATTTTTACGATATCTTCTGCTGATATATAAACACTAAAGAACACTTCTGTGAATAAAGCCAGTATTATAAATACATCTGAGCCTACAATTTATCATGAATGTATTTCACAGAGTGTACTTACATGGCTAAGCTACAGAATCTGGCATCAAAGACTGAGGCTGATACCTCAGCAAAGCAGATACATAGTATTCATTATAGTTACTCTGATGCATATCAAACACACACTACTGCCTTACCCACGAATTTTACTTGTTTCATATTCCAGGGGCCTGAAAGAAGGCACAATGCTCAAAGGCTGATTGCTCAGAAATAAATGGAGCAAATATGGAGGAAAAAAAAAAAGCAAATTTACTACAGCCTTCAACAAGCCAAGCACAGGTAACTTCAGGACCGGGTATGAAAAAATCACGGACACTGTAAAGACACAACAATTTTTAGAAGCTATTTTATGACCTCACTGCTTGCAGCTGGGCCATTCATTACATGCTGGGCCACAATGTATTTAGGAAACACAGTGCATGACCACAACACTGAATTGCAAAATCAGCTGTGAGAAAGTTTCTGCAAGTTGTTAACTAAAAAAAACCCAAACAAACAACAGAAATCAAACCTGAAGTAATGTGTTCCAAACATGGCAATTCATGGTCATTTGCTCATTTAGACACAAAACTATAAATTCTCAAATTCCCACCTTATGCAGAAAAATATGGGAAAGGAGTGGGAGAGGGAGGGAAGTGCCAGAGGATGGTTTTTATTCTTCCAGGAGCACGAATCTCACATACTGTACTACATCTGAGGGGTTATTTCTTTGGACAACAATTCAGTACTTTTTGTAGTTACTTTTGATCCACCTCGTTATTTACTCACCCCAGTGTAAAGCACTTACTCTGTCTTCCCCAAAACTTAACACATTAACTTACCAACCCCTTCTGAACAAAAACCACGCAGTCTTACCAACTGTTCAGAGAAGTAGCTGGCTAGTCAAATCTCCTGAGAGACGATGAAGCAAAGACAAATAAACAGAGGAAAACTAGTAAGAGTAACCAACTTACTTTGCTTGTAAAGAAGCCAAAGCATCCGAGAACTTGTTGTTAAGAAATAAATCCAGAGCTGCCATACACTCACGCAATGACATGTTGAGGTCTGACGCAGGTGACCTGCCAGAAGAAAGAATAAAGTCAGCACGTCTGTTACCCTTCTACCGGGGCATTACTGCTATGTTTCAACTCCTCATCTTCAGTTCTAGCCTTATTCCCGTGTATAAGCTGCTCTTCCATTTCTAGTGGTTGTGAAAAATGAAAGTGTCTTCCATGATGTCTGTGCTGTTTTGTTTGGTTTTGTTTTTTTTAACTATGCTCTTACTCTGTGACATGTGGACAGCAATTCAAGTTTTGTACTTTCTGAAAATAAGATAAACAGCACGTGCTGTAAATGAGAGCCTGGAGATGCAGAAGTTACCATGTGGGAGTGTGGCAATTTGATGAGCTCCAGTATCAGGAACACAGAAGCACTGGGTGACAACGCACACCTGTGTATAAGGCTGACAGAGACTACAGGCTAGTGACATTACGATCATGTTGTCACTTTAAGGATGAGACACTGCCAAACTGCATCAGATTATTATATTGACTGCTGCTGGAACATCTGCTTTTGTTCAGCTCACGTTCAGCATGGGTCCTGACCGGTAGACCACTACAGCCTTGCAGGTGGGTTAAAATTCCACATTGTGCATGCTCCTGGGAATATCACTGTCCCTAAGAAGTGCAACTGTACTCAAACAAAAAAAATGCTGCTGCATCCTAAAGTCAGAAGATTATCTCAGCAGCTTACTCTGGCTGTACTTTTCTCCTTTACAACATTCAGATGTCAGCCTGACCTGTGACAGGGGTTCTCAGCTGGTCTTTGGGTTACTGGCAACAGGATAATACAGACCAGCTGAATAAGTTTGGCCCAAGTTCATCACTACCAGAGCTGCAGGACAAAAAAAGAAACAATAAGGCCTTGCACTAACAAAGTTAAGGTAATCTGGCCGCAGGACGGTTGAAACATCTGCATCTAATGATCAAAGAGCCACACTACATTGCTGTGTCACATGCAAGTCTGTAAGAAAAAGCTCCCCCAGCAAAATACAGAGAAATCCTCACTGTATTCCTGACTCCAATAGCTCTAAAAGATGTGAACTGTCTTGTGACTTAGAAACTACATTTCTTCCTTAAAAAATGGCACAACACATTGCCTGCTGAAAGGAGCAGCAGAAAGCAAAGTCCTGGTACCGTCTTAAGGAAAAGACAGGGGAGCACAGAACAAACAGATAGCATCAGTAATAACCACTGACTGCACCAGTCCTTTGGTTTTGTTTTTAAGAACCATGACTGCAAAGAAAAAAAGAGCATAATTATATACATGTATGATAAACAGGATTATAAATCTGAGAGAAACATTATACGACACTGTTTATAGTGGCTGTTGTCACCACATTTCACATACACTGCAAATCCTTCTGCACCCAAGAGACCCTCCAAGTGCTTTGCAAACATTGATTAATCAAGTCTTGGCGTCCGTCTCATACAATATGCAATATCATGTCTGCCTAATTATTCTGAGCCTTACTTACTCTAATAATTAAAACTTTGCCAATTATTGTTTACATGTATTAAAAATCTTACCTGCTTTTTTTAAACCTGTGTCCCTGAATCAAACAGCATATTTAACACAACATAAAACATATCCTCATCTGTTTTAAAATATCTGGACTAATAACATTTCACCTGGATTTTCTGCTTGATTGTTTCTTGTGATGGAGGAGAATTACCCCATTTGATACAAATAAACCTTTTCAAAATATTCCTTTGAAACAGAAAGATGACAAAAAAAAACCCACTGTTGAAGCTCGAAGCACAAATAAGATGTATTAATTATTTGGCATCTTTTCTGGAATAAGAATCATTAACACAGTGCCACCCCTAGCAGCACCAAAAATACAAGTTGCATACTTCCTCATGCTCCAAGGAAACCTGACATTTGATGTAGCTCCCAAGTAACAGACCTAAGACCCAAACACACTACACACCATACATAAATGCTACAAATTGTCCTCTGTTGCTGTTAAGAATAGGGAAGAAATACTCTAAAGTGCTAAGCATCTTCGCAAACTGATTAGTCATGCTTCAGCGGGCTGCGGGTTCTCTCATGCTTTCAACAGCAAGCTCAGAACCGCCTGTAAGCCAAACGGAAAACGCTGTGCCCTGCCACTTACCTTTCTGCTAAATCTCTTGTGTTTTCTGACATCATCATTTGCGTGCACGCTCCGCGCGGAGGCACGAACACCTGCCCGCAGCGCCCAGTGCCACCTCAGCAGCTCGCAGCGACAGTCCCACTGCCCGCGCCGGGCAGCGCCTGCCTGCCCGCGATACGGCACCCTCGACTGGTCATCGCGGATGATACGACGGGATTTACGAGCAGCGCTAGTTCACCCACAACATCCTGCAAGTGTGTGATGGCGAAGCTGGTCCATGACACACAAAGTTCATCTGTCACTGGATACTTACTACTAAGGTGGAAGGTGCTGTATCTCTGATCTACAGACCTGCCTGAAATTAGCAGCAGCATCAGCTGTCCTTCATTCAGTACAAACTAGGCAGAAGTCAAATATCCCTGCAATTACAGATCTGAAACAAGAAAAATTACTGCACGGCAGTGGACCACATCGGAAACCTGTGAGCTGGGACGGAGAGTCAAATGAGGCCAGCTGACACACGGGAGAACTGAGGCATTAATTGCTGCAAATGTGAGAAGCAGACAGGCAAAAGAGACAAGAAAGTACTTCTCCCCAGCAAGGCTTCTCTGCAAAGCAGGCTTCAATCCACCAAACTGCTGCTTATCATCAGTTACTATAAATTTGGGACATAGCAAGCCTTCACATGTTCTTTGTAAAAATCTCTCTTTAACGCCATGCAAAATGACACGGGTTGGCATAAACAATTTATTCAATGGAGTGAGCTCATCTGGCTGATTTTGCCCAAAATAAAACAGTGTATGCTCACAAACTGCTTTGCTGGCACATCAGCAGTACTGGTCCTGTATGTAAGCAGGGCAGCCACCAGCAGCAAGAACAGTCACCTCTCTCAGACAGCTGGACGGTAGAAGTTGATCAGCTATGATTTAATTGTCCAAGTCAGTTTCTCCAAAAGCATCTAATGTTAAAAATAATAAATTTATTTTCTCCTGTATCTGGTCTTATTTTTTAGATTACACAAAGCAGTACCAATACTGAAGACATCGACTGCTGAAGGAAGACCCAAAAATAATAAATAAGCGAAGGATAATTTCAGGAAGATAACTCTGAAGGCATTAACATACCTGATTAAATCTCTTGCTGTTTTTACGACATCCTGTACAGGAAAAACCTGCCCTGCATTTGGTATAAAAATTATTGTAATAAATCCACAGGCTGCCCCGTTAATGACTCCATTAGATGTTTGTAGCAGCGCTCTGTACCTGCGCCACAGCAGGAGACAAAAGACATTACCGGGTTTTTTTTTCCCCAGTTGGGAATAACTACTGCTTACAACTTAAAATTAACTGGGGTGCTTCCGTGGCAGGATCATGAGCTACTCTGAAAAGATTCTTCACCAGTTTCACTAGCTGTTCATACAGGTTCTAATTGATACTGTATTTCTCCAAACGGACTTTATAGTTCCGCATGGTGAAGGCTCTGGCTGATTTTGCCACATTCTTCAAGACTTGAGTTGGTAAGGTTTTATCTGAATATCACTTCTCTACTAATAATTACACACTCAGGTAACTTTCAGTATGCAACCTCTCTTCCCTCACATATATCAATGTTTTCTTTTAACTAAAGAAAATAAATCTAAAAAATTAAGACCTGAAATATTTCCAAACATAGGCCATTTCCCCCTTGGTTCTAGAAGCTCCTTTCCTTTTTTGCTTTTTGGTGGCAGGACTTGCAAGGACAGTCATATGGTCCTCACTATGGTTTTATTATTTATGAAATCATTGTTCTCTGCCCTGGGGACCATGACTGGAGGTGCTTCACAAATCATAATTACAGGGTATCCTCTGACTTAAAGTAAGACCTGCTCTCCTTACTCTACTGGATCCCCATTGTCTCTAGTCAGAAGTGCAATTCTAATCTAAATCCTAGGCAATGCCCTTTTTAGTTAAACATCAAAACCTTTTTACAACAGAATATTGAAAAAAAATCCACAGAACTAAGCAAAATTAAATTTCTTAGTATTAATGAAAAGTAAAGCACTTTCAAAAGTAAAAAATCATGATGTTTTCCGTGGGCAAAAGCAGGGTCGAGGGAAGGCTTTTTTGAGCATGGGAGTTACCACATTTCTGCATAAATTTTATTTCACTGTGTGCATGATATTGACTGATTTCTTACTATAAGTTTGCAGCAGATATGCTTTATGATTTGTCATTGAGTTTTACGGATTTCCTTCAAAAAAACGGTCTTGAATCTTGTATTCTGCAAAATGCTGAACTACCAATTCACTTCACCTCAGTAATTATCAAAAAAGAACTTTGCAAAAAAAGGTAAGTCTGAAGCTTGTGCCTTTATAGTAACGCTTTTAATAGTAATCTAAGAGCTCCTTCAGCACTGTGAAACACTGAAAGGAAGTTAAATCAGTCACAGCCTAAAATATGGATGCGTTTCTCTGCCAAATCTACATTATCTGCATAAGTCAGCTGAGGTAGTGTGCATGGGTAACTTAATTTGGAGGAAGAGAGTAAAATGCTAGGAGTCAAGCACAGCTGAGCTAAACCATTACTTGACGAGAAACCACCACAGAGCAGACCCAGTGCTGGTGACTCAGTAGTTGACTTTCTTCTCTGTTGTCAGGAGATTCGTGGAGCAGGGAGAAGTGGAAGCCCACCGTGCTTTCTCAAATATAGACTAGTCGCAAACACGTAAAACAAGTGAGATGCAAGATCAAAGAAAAGCATCTAATGGAAAGATTATATTCCCATTCCAAAGAAGTTTCACAGCAGAATCTTTGTAATCATGGTAGGGACCTTCTGTCTCAGGGGCTCCGTAATGACTGACGCTGCTTTCATCTTCCTCAGAAGCATCAACAAAACTGCTCTAGCGAGTAGTAGGGTTCTGGCTGGATCACAGCAACATCACTACCTCTACAGCACAGCTGGCTTCTGGTCCTGCTCTCCCACTGAAACCCTCCTGCTACAACACCACAGAAAACGGTTTGGCACCCAGCCTTACTACATTTAAGGCAAGGAAAACAAATTCAGCTTAAAAGTTTCCTGCTAAGTAATTTTTAAGTATTTGCTCTTGATTTTATTTTATATTTAACAATTTGGACAATACATTGTTTTGGCCTCCTTTACTCCCTTTATATCAAGGGCTCTCTGTGTAGCAACAGTTTTAATTTTTGCGTGATAATGCCAATCTTCTGCTATTAAAAGGCAGCCCAAACGCTCACAGCGCTGGTAGAAAGGACTAGGTTGTGCCAACACATGTTTTTGCGGCTGTTTTAAGCTACCTGCATCAACAGCGCATACTCTTGGCAGCACACCTTCCTGCTACGATGGTGGAAAGCTCACTACGTACACAGGAAAAACAACCAGCATCACATTCTCTTCCTGTTTACAAAGAGATTTAGAGAGGGTTGCTTCTAGCCACACAGTCAGGCAAAAAAAAGTAATAAATTCTTAAACAACCTCTATATGAAATTAAACTGAAAAAGAGATTGGTCTCACATGCCCAAAGCAGCTTCATTTTTTCCAGAGAGGAAGGAGTAGTAAAATCATACTGCTCCCTGCTAACACTGTGCCACTTGGGCTACCAAAGCGTCACCAGCGCTGACACTTCAAACCACCCACAGATGTGAGGCGTGCCCCAAATCATATTTCAGGGCTGCATTCCAGTTCATAACAAAAAACCATCCAAGACACCTCCACCGTACGAACGCAACCTGGCTTGCTGATACGCAGGCCACCATGCACGGTAGGTGCTGTCACTGACACCCGGGTGTCCTTCCCATTGCATGTTTTCAAAAATATCACCACTAAATACAGAAATTCTTGCCATGACACCACTTTCTGTTTGCTTGATAATCACAGAGACATTACGAGATACCAGGACCTGGGGTTACTTCCTTCAGCCTTTTCAAGTTTGCCAGGTCATTTGCAAATTGATGACTACTACTTTTGTAAATAGATGGCTGCTTTGAGCAACACTGCGTTACAAATGTTCTGGCCTGAGACCGAAAAAATCTCTACATTCAAAGAAAACAAAAAGCACATCACTTGGGAAGAGTTCTGTTCCTCTTTTGCAAACAATTCCAGAACCACATGAGATCAGAAATAATCTCAGATGAACGGCGCTCTCATTACCATGAAAAGGACAGCCAGTAAGCAGTTCTCACAATAATTTGTTACAATTCAGTTTTCAGACAATGCTGAAACTTCATAATTCGAAAGTAAATAAGTTACTGCAAGAAAATGAATTCTACCATATCCTTTCCTGTTATATGTGCCAAGCTAGTAACACCTCAGCACTTAGCTTTTGCGTTCTTGAACACGTTTCTGGCCCGTGACTACGTCTCCTGGGTGCTGCAGAAATGCCAGTACTTCTAACAGCAACAAAGCAATTGGAACGGTTTCAATAGTCACGTTCTCCAAATACTCTGTATAGAGACACAACAGTGATGCAATTCTGGAATTCAGGAGATCTTAGTCAGTACTTCAAGTTGTATATATAAGGAGTAGGACACTGTTTATTTCTGAAGCTAACCTGGCTCTCAAACCACGAAGCTATTGATGCCTCGGCAATATCACAGGTCTTCTGTCTAAGCGGATACTCAAGCTTTCGGCCCTTCTGTTTCAGGGAAAGCTCAAAAAACCAAGCGATGTGGCAAAGCAGTCAAGCGAGCAGAACAAAGTCCAGGGAATCAGTAGACTTGCGCTCTGCCCTTGGATCCACCACTGTTTAACTTGCACCAAGCAGGATCTTGGTTGCGCTACATTCACCGTTTCCATCCTGTATTTGAACAGGCAAACAATGCAATAAATTCATTACGATAGGTTTGTTCAGACAAATAAAAAATACTGGGTGTCAATTTTGCGGTTCCCTTTCCATGCTGTACTGCCATGACTGCTCACGGAGGGCTAAATGCACCATTGTGGGTGATTACTCCCAGTTAGCAGAACTGCCTGCACCAGAAAGAATGAAAAAAAAACCAACCCAACCCCAAACAATACAGTCTGGCAAATTACAAATTATCAACCCAAGCACCCTGGAACTGCAA